CCCCCCCCCACTCTCTCTCTCTCTCTCTCTCTCTCTGCGTCGTCACGCGACCCCCCCCCCCACCCTCCCGGTGCAAAATAGCTCCCGCGAAGGCCCTGACATGGCCTCTTTTATGCGGAGAGCCGGTAAATGACACCGCGATCATTCCCATATTAGGAAGTCCCTGAGATGAAGCTCGTTCCAGGCTCAAACTTACCCATATATGGCCTCAGACAGTCTTCCTATCCCATCATTGGCTTAGGTCCACCGTCACCCAAATTCCCTGGAGATAAAAAGAGAAATAAACCATTTAACTCCCGGTTAGATGCATTCCCCCTTCTCCCCCCCAACCCCCACCCCCTCCCCGTGCGTCCCTCTGGAGAACAAGTCACCTCCGTTCCGTGCGTCTTAAGCTCACGTTTCTTTACGTGCCGTTGACCGCCCCCGTTGCCCGTTGGCTAAGACGCTTTGCCCCCAAAGTGCCCCCACGTCTACGCAGCAAACTGTGCCGTTGCCCCACCCCCCCCACCCACCCCCACCCCCCTCTCCCCCCTTTAATAAAGGAGGATAACCGGTTTGCGTTTGATACGGCGCTTTATCGGGTCTTCCGATAATTAATCGAACAGTCGGTATAGCGGTATATGGGCCTTGACGCTGGTCTGCGGGAGGGAGGGAGGGAGGGAGGGAGTGACGGAGGTCAGTGTGAGTGGTCAGTGTGCGTGAGTGAGCGTGGTCAGTGTCAAGGAGGTCAGTGTGAGTGACGGAACGCGTGTGGTCAGTTTGAGTGAGTGATGAGTGGTCAGTGGGAGTGAGTGAGTGAGGAGGTCAGTGTGAGTGAGTGTGGTCAGTGTGAGTGAGTGTGGTCAGTGTGAGTGAGGAGGTCAGTGTGAGTGAGGAGGTCAGTGTGATTGAGTGTGGTCAGTGTGAGTGAGGAGGTCAGTGTGAGTGAGTGAGGAGGTCAGTGTGAGTGAGTGTGGTCAGTGTGAGTGGTCAGTGTGAGTGAGTGAGTGAGTGAGGAGGTCAGTGTGAGTGAGTGTGGTCAGTGTGAGTGAGGAGGTCAGTGTGAGTGAGTGAGGAGGTCAGTGTGAGTGAGTGTGGTCAGTGTGAGTGGTCAGTGTGAGTGAGTGTGAGTGAGTGTGGTCAGTGTGAGTGAGTGAGAAGGTCAGTATGAGTGAGGAGGTCAGTGTGAGTGAGTGCAGTGAGGAGGTCAGTGTGAGGGAAAGAGTGGAGTGAGGTCAGTGTGAGTGAGGGAGTGAGTGAGGAAGTCAGTGTGAGGGAGTGAGGAGGTTAGGGTGAGGGAGTGAGTGAGTGAGGGAGGAGGAGCTCAGTGTGAGTGATGGAGTGAGTGGAGTGAGGAGGTCAGTGCGAGTGAGTGATTGGAGTGAGGTCAGTGTGAGGGAGTGAGTGAGGGAGGAGCTCAGTGTGAGTGAGTGGAGTAAGGTCAGTGTGAGTGAGGGAGTGGAGTGAGGTCTGTGTGAGTGGAGTGAGTGAGTGGAGTGAGGTCAGTGTGAGTGAGGGAGTGGAGTGAGGAGGTCAGTGTGAGTGAGGGAGTGGAGTGAGGAGGTCAGTGTGAGTAATGAGGGAGTGAGGAGGTCAGTGTGAGTGGAGTGAGTGAGTGGAGTGAGGAGGTCAGTGTAAGGGAGTGAGTGGAGTGAGGAGGTCAGTGTGAGGGAGTGAGTGGAGTGAGGAGGTCAGTTTGAGGAAGTGAGTGGAGAGAATGAGGAGGTCAGTGTGAGTGAGCGAGTGGAGTGAGGGGGTCAGTGTCAGTGAGGGAGTGGAGTGAGGAGGTCAGTGTGAGTGAGTGAGGCGGTCAGTGTGAGTGAGTGGAGTGAGTGAGGTCAGTGTGAGTGAGTGAGTGAGGGAGTGAGTGAGTGAGGAGGTCAGTGTGAGTGGAGTGAGGTCAGTGTGAGTGAGTAAGGCGGTCAGTGTGAGTGAGTGAGTGAGTGGAGTGAGTGAGGAGGTCAGTGTGAGTGGAGTGAGGAGGTCAGTGTGAGTGAGTGGAGTGAGGAGGTCAGTGTGAGTGAGTGAGTGAGTGGAGTGAGTGAGGAGGTCAGTGTGAGTGAGTGAATGGAGTGAGGTGAGTGTGAGTAAGTGAGTGAGTGAGTTGAGGAGGTCAGTGTGAGGGAGTGAGTGGAGTGAGGAGGTCAGTGTGAGGGAGTGAGTGAGTGGAGTGAGTGAGGAGGTGAGTGTGAGTGAGTAAGTGAGTGGAGTAGAGTGAGGAGGTCAGTGTGAGGGAGTGAGTGAGGAGGTGAGTGAGTGGAGTGAGTGAGGTCAGTGTCAGTGAGGGAGTGGAGTGAGGGAGTGGAGTGAGTGAGGAGGTCAGTGTCAGTAGAGTGAGTGGGTGGAGTAATTGAAGAAGTCAGTGTGAGTGGAGTGAGTGAGGAGGTCAGTGTGAGTGAGTGAGTGAGTGAGGAGGTCAGTGTGAGGCAGGGAGTGAGTGTAGTGGAGTGAGGAGGTCAGTGTGAGTGAGTGAGTGAGTGAGTGAGTGAGTGAGTGAGTGAGTGAGGAGGTCAGTGTGAGGGAGGGAGTGAGTGTAGTGGAGTGAGGATGTCAGTGTGAGTGAGGGAGTGAGTGAGGAAGTTCAGTGTGAGGGAGTGAGTGAGTGGAGTGAAGAGGTCAGTGTGAGGGAGTGTGTGAGTGTAGTGAGGAGGTCAGTGTGAGTGAGTGGAGTGAGTGAGTGAGGAGGTCAGTGTGAGTGAGTAGAGTGAGTGAGTGAGGAAGTTCAGTGTGAGGGAGTGTGTGAGTGGGGTGAAGAGGTCAGTGTGAGGGAGTGAGTATAGTGGAGTGAGGAGGTCAGTGTGAGTGAGTGAAGTGAGTGAGTGAGGTCAGTGTGACGGAGTGAGTGGAGTGAGGGAGTGGAGTGAGTGGAGTGAGGAGGTGAGTGAGTGAGGTTCAGTGTGAGTGGAGTGAGTGAGGATGTCAGTGTGAGTGGAGTGAGTGGAGTGAGTTAGGAGGTGAGTGTGAGTGGAGTGAGGTGAGTGAGTGGAGTGAGGTGAGTGAGTGGAGTGAGGTCAGTGTGAGTGGAGTGAGTGAGTGGAGTGAGGAGGTGAGTGTGAGTGAGGTGAGTGGAGTGAGGTGAGTGAGGAGGTGAGTGAGTGGAGTGAGGAGGTGAGTGAATGGAGTGAGTGAGGAGGTGAGTGAATGGAGTGGAGTGAGGAGGTGAGTGTGAGGAGGTGAGTGAGTGGAGTGAGTGAGTTGAGTGGAGTGGGGAGGTGAGTGAGTGGAGTGAGGAGGTGAGTGGGTGGAGTGAGTGAGTGGAGTGAGGAGTGTGGAGTGGGTAGAGCGGAGTGAGGTGAGTGAGGAGGTGAGTGGAGTGAAGTGAGTGAGTGGAGTGAGGCGATCAGTGTGAGTGGAGTGAGTGAGGAGGTGAGTGGAGTGAGGAGGTCAGTGTGAGTGGAGTGAGGAGGTCAGTGTGAGTGGAGTGAGGAGGTCAGTGTGAGTGGAGTGAGGAGGTCAGTGTGAGTGAGTGAGTGGAGTGAGGAGGTCAGTGTGAGTGAGTGGGTGAGTGAGTGAGGAGGTCAGTGTGAGTGGAGTGAGGAGGTCAGTGTGAGTGAGTGAGTGGAGTGAGGAGGTCAGTGTGAGTGAGTGGAGTGAGTGAGGAGGTCAGTGTGAGTGAGTGAATGGAGTGAGACGGTCAGTGTGAGTGGAGTGAGGAGGTGAGTGAGTGAGTGAGTGGAGTGAGTGAGGAGGTCAGTGTGAGTGAGTGAGTGAGTGGAGTGAGACGGTCAGTGTGAGTGGAGTGAGGAGGTGAGTGAATGGAGTGGAGTGAGTGAGGAGCTGAGTGAATGGAGTGGAGTGAGTGAGGAGCTGAGTGAATGGAGTGGAGTGAGTGAGGAGGTGAGTGAATGGAGTGGAGTGAGGAGGTGAGTGAATGGAGTTGAATGGAGTGGAGTGAGGAGCTGAGTGAATGGAGTGGAGTGGAGTGAGGAGGTGAGTGAGGAGTGGAGTGAGGAGTGAGTGAGGAGGTGAGTGAGGAGGTGAGTGAGGAGGTGTGAGTGAGGAGGTGAGTGAGTGAGTGCGGAGGCGAGTGGGAGTGGAGCGAACAACTGACCAACGGGACGACCGCCCGACGACCGCCTGACTACACCTCCCAGACTGCCCCGCGCCGCCCCGGCCCCGCCCCCCCCCCCCCCCCCCCCTCCCGCCTCCCGCCCAACGGTTTTTTCCTTCCAGCATTTTCCACGCAGTCAGTCCCAGAGTCCGGTCACCGCCGCGGCGTCGCCTCACACCTCGAGTCCCCCTTCTCTGCGTCTCTCTCTCTCACTCGACAACATGGTACGTGTGAGGGTTTTTTTTCTCTCTCTCTCTCTCTCTCTCTATATATATATTTATATCGTCATTTTTATTTAAAAAAAAGAGGGATTCAATTAATTTAATTTAATGTGATGAATCGATTCATTGGGGCCGTGATTTTCTTTCGAGGCGGCGGTCGAAATCGTCGTCGTTCGCGGCGGCGGTGGAGAGAGAGAGAGAGAGAGAGAATGAATTGTTAATTATTCGTATTTATTTTGTCTTTTTTTTTTCTTCTCCCCCTTTTTTTTTGGGGTGTGTGTGTGTGTGTGTGTGTGTGGGGTATGTCGGTTGGTCGTGATTCTGGGGGTGTGGGGGGGAAATAAAGCAAATTATCCTTATTCATTGCTAATATTATTTCTAATTATAAGGGATTAAAATGCTGAATTATTATTCTGTTATTAAATCATATTATTGTTGATGTGGTGGTGGTGGAGAGGGTTCATTTTGTCGTCAAAATGAGAGGTGCACTTCTTCGCCTCTTAACCCTCAGTTCAGTTTCAGTCGCATATTCTGTGTGTGTTTTTATTATTATATTATTATTATATTATTATTATAATTATTTTATTTGTGTGTTTAAAAAAAGAGAGAGAATTAATTCTCCTCCTCCTTCGTGTTGTTGTGCTGCTTAGCGTTTAGTGTAGTTGTCATCCAAAAATGGCTGTTTTTTTTTGAAAAAAAGAGAATGAATTATTATTATTATTATTATTATTAATTTTTCTTTCATTAATAGTGTCGCTTTCCTGATTTTTTTTTTGGTGGCGGTGGTGAGGTGGTGGGGGGGAGGAGGAAAGGGGGTTAACTTGTCGTCGGGCAAACGAGTTGCGTGTCTCGACGGTTTAGTTAATCTTTAGTCTTTGTGGGTGTAAAGAGAGAGAGAGAACGAATTATAATTATTATTATTATTATTATTATTGTTTTCCTGGTGGTTTTTGTGGGGCGGACCGAAACGGACCGATTCGAGCTCCTCAGTAAGTCTTCACGTGCGAGAGAGAGAGAGAAGAGAGAAGAGAGAGAGAGACTACTCTATATATAGCTGTGAAAAAAAAAGTTCATTGTATTTTATTCTTAATGTTTTTTTTTGTTTCCTGGTGGGTTTGCGTGAGGTGCTTTTGGGGGGTCTCTCACTCTCCGACTCACTGCGTCTCCCCTTCTCGCTGTCTGTGTCACCGTTTGTGTGTCTTCGTGTCACCGTTTGTGTGTGTGTCTTTGTGTCACCATTTGTGTGTCTCTCACACTCTCTCTCTCTCTCTCACACTCTCTGTCTCATTGCGTCTCTCCCCCCCCCTCCCTTTCTCGCTCAAAATGGGCTGATTTGAGCTCCTGAGTTAGCCTTCATCATCTCTGTGCGAGAGAGCGAGAGGCGACCATATAGAGCTGTGAAAAAAAGTTCATTGTATTTTATTATTAATATTTTTTGTTTCCTGGTGGGTTTTGTGAGGTGCTTTTGGGGGTCTCTCACTCTCTCACTCTCTGTCTCATTGCGTCGCTCCTTCTCGCTGTCTGTGTCACCGTTTGTGTGTCTCTGTGTCACCGTTTGTGTCTCTCTCTCTCATTCACTCTGTCTCATTGCGTCTCCCTCCCTTTCTCGCTGTCTGTGTCTCGCTCTCTCTGTTTCATTGTGTGCATCTCTTACCCTTTATTTCTGTCCGTGTCACTGTGTGTGTGTGTGTGTGTGTCTCGTGTGCGCTCTGTCTCATTGCGTATGTCTCCCTTTCTCTCTGTCTCCCTTTCTGTGGGTCTATCTGTCTCATTGTGTGTGTATCCCCTTCCCTTTTCTGTGTCGGTCTCTCGCTCTCCCTTTGTCACTCTGAGTGTGCAGATCTCTCTCTTTTTTTTCTCTGTGGATTTCTTTCTCTCGTCTCTCCCTCTCTGGTTAGCGTGTGATTTGTTGGGCATGTTTTAAGCCTCGGGCTATTTTTTTTAAACAAATCCTTTTGTTGCAACAAAGGCGATCAAGATTTTTTTTCCCTGAAAAGGAATCTGCTTTTCAGACATTTACATTTTTCTGCTTAACGTTTAAAACATCCGGCAGACCAGACCATCCGCCCTCACAATCACACTAACCTCCAGAATAACATTAGATTTCAATTGCTGAGAACCTTAATTTCTCTGCGACATTTTTACCTTTTTATTTCCCCCTCCCCTCCCCCAACACCCTATCTGCGTATTTTATATTAATTTCCTTGCGAGGGTTTTGTTTTGTTAGTTGCAGACCCGCACTGGTCAGTTTTGTATCTTTGCAAGATCTTTGTTCATTTGATAACAAGAATTCTGTTCATATTTTGAATTCGAATTCCCTTCCCGATTTTCCATTTTATTTCTCCTTTGCAATGTTTGGTTTTACTTGAACTCATTTATTTAAAATAAAAGTTCTGTCGGATTTTTAGATTACAAAATTCTCATTCCTGTGTCGGATTAATATTTCCCGTTGCAAAAAAAAATTAGGTTTGACATTTCAATGGGGATTGGAAATGTGATATCTGTGGGTCACCTTGAATGGACTCGCTTTGCTTTTTAGCATCAGTGTTGTCATGAAGGAATATTTATGTTTGAGAGCTAGGCCTCTGCAGTGGGAGCGCCCACCCTCCCACACACCCCCCCCCCCCCCCTTCTCCTCATTGCAGTTGATGTGCAGGGAACAGAAGCTGCATCTCACTAAAATGGCGACCCGCAGTCTGCTTACAGTTGGGTTTTTAGTTGCAGTGTCAGTTTCTAATCAATAAAGCTGGAGCGGATTTTAAAATGGTCGTTTAGGCATTCATTTTAGGGAGAGTTGGCAGCCTCCACCTTTCCTGCGCACAACCTTTTTTGTGCAAAAGTGCTGTGTTAACAGGGAGCCGATGTTAAAGCTAACAATAAAACCATTATCAATCCTGTATCAGTCATTTGCACCTCTCGCCCGGTTTCTTAATTTTAACAAAACACTGCGTGACTTGAACGCAATACCTACCTGTTTTCCACTCCTCCTACAATGTACAGCCTTTTAAGCCTCCAGCTTTCTATCCCCTAATTAATTCAAAATGCCTTTCTCTTTAACTATAATGGTGAATTATCACTTGAACATAATCTATAGTAAGCTGCAACTTGAATTCCCGAATAGGGGGTCTTGGGTTCTCTTTCTGCAGCTGCAGATTTGACTAAAGATGGAGCAGTCTGTTACATGGACACAGTCGTTTCTTTTTGTTCTCCATTAAGATGAGCTCATAGTGAAAAAACGGGATGCTTGATCTGTCTCAGTACCCTAGCAACAGATAAAATATGCCCTCTAGGGGCATCAGGGAAAGGCAGCAGTGATGCAGCATTGTTACTTTCAATGATACTCGAACGACGCCCATGGATCTTTAATCACAGAATCGTACAGCACAAAAAGAGGCCATTTGGCCCATCGAGTCTGTGCGGCTCTTTGAAAAGAGCAATGCAATGTCAATCCCACTCCCCGGCCCTTTCCCCATAACCCACCAACCCGTCCTCCTCAAAAAAGTAGTTATCGAATCGGCCTCCACCGCCCTTTCAGGCGACGCTTCCAGATTCGAACAACTCGCTGCGTGGAAAAAAAATTCTTCGCACCTCCCCTCGGCTTCTTTCAGAGACTATTTTGAATCTGTGACCTCGAGTCACCGACACACCCACCAGTGGGAACAGTTTTTCCCTTTCTAACCCTCATGATATTGAAGACCTCTATCAGGTCCTCGTAACCTTCTCTGCTCCAATGAGAATAATCCCGGCCTCTCCAGCCTTTCCTCATCATCACGGTCCCTCATTCCTGGTACCATCCTCGTAAATCCCTCTGCACCCTTTCCAATGCCTTAACATCCTTCCTATAGTGCGGTGCCCAGAACTGGGCGCAGTATTCTAACATACCATGAGTTTCACTTTCAGGAACTTTACAACCCATTCCCCCTGTCTGTCAAACTAATTTAGCTCTGATTTGTAAAAGAGAACCCCATACAGTACTCTGGAGGTTCAAACTCAGCTGAGTTGATGCTAATACTTTATAGGATTGAGATCGAATTGGTGCAGAAAAGAGTTAACTCTTTTCAATGGCTTCTCATAATTGAAATTGCATTCTTGTCTCAAAATGTTTGGAGGGTGGGAGAGCGAAAGAGATTTTATATGGATACTTCTGCTATCTACTGCCTTACCCCTTAGTCTGGGGCTGTGGGGTTATGAGAGAAGGCAGAAGCTATGTCCAAGACTATTGCTGAATGATAAAATGAGTAAAAACCTCTAAACTTTAGTTTTACTATCGTGGTTGTGCCAACAAGTACCAGAAGGGAATTTGTAAATTTAATTCTGTGTAACGCTTTGAGACGTCTCAACGAAGTAGAATGTAGAATATCTGGAATGCACTGCCTGAAAAAGGGGTAGTGGAAACAGATTCAATAACAGCTGTGGAAACAGATTCAAGAACAATTCTGTGAAGCACTTTGAGACTTCTGGAAGACGTGAAAAGCGCGACATCAAATGCAGGGATTATCATCATTGTTAACTTTCAAGAGTTGAGGGAAAAGAGGAAAAAATTGCAAGGATATGGGGGAAGAGCGGCCGAGTGGGTCCAGTTGGTTGCTCTGCCAAAGAAGAGGCACAGGCACGATGGGCCGAATGGCCTCTTGTTGTGCTGTTATATTGTATGATTCTAATGGGGAGGTCAAACGTTGCTTAATTATAGATTTGTTCCAACGCCTTTTCGAATGTTCTGTGTGAGTTGCTTTTATCGAAAGGCCACAAGATTGACGAATCTGAATAACAGTCACAATCTTGCAGTTGATACAGCGCCTTATCTCGTCTTCCAGACGTCGCAAAGCACTTCACAGGATTTACTGTGAAGTGTTTTGACTTATTTTGTAGGCGAATAGAATTGCAACCCACAGTCTTCCAGGGAAAAGGAGATACTGTTCGAATTCGTAACCAACATCTTCTTTCAGCTAAAATGTCTGACTTGATTGTGTTCCCAGTGGGGCATGAGTCGGGTGGTAAAACTACCTGTAACGAGAGACTAATTGGAAAGTATCCCAGAGAGAGAGAGAGAGAGAGAGCTCACAAGGAGTCATGAAAACGCAATGTCATGTTGCTGATGTAAATGTGCATTATTTTTGCAGTGAACCCTGTCTCCAGACACCACACAAATGACTCGGGGTTGAACGTGCACAAAGCCAAGTCATGCTGTGTGCCGCTGTGATGCCAAGCTGGAATGAAACGTGTACTCCAGATGATGGCCAGAAAAGTGTGGAGGGGGGGGGGAGTGCGGGGGGGGAATCCTTCCACTCGCTCCTGTTTAACCCTGGAAGCCAAAGCCCTAACAGTAGGGCGGGAAAGCTTGCCAGACAGCGCTCTCAGTGGCAAACTATCCAGTTTTAGCTGGTCAGACTCCCAACAGTTACCACAACGCACACTCTGGGCCCCTCCCACGCCTTGGCTCGCGCCTCTAGGCTTGATATTCTCCAGAATTAGGTAAGCCACGTGCGTCCCTCCAGGGAGCGAGAGCGCATCCAGTCTCAGTGAATGTCTCTGGAATTTCCACGTGTAGGTGGGAGGCATGGAATTATTCTCAGTTGGGTTTGGAGACTCTCTTGAGCGCGGCGATGGATTTCCGCGCGCGTCAGACACCCGGCCTGGTCGCCCCAAAAAGAAAGGGACGTGACACGACCTCTCTTGTTAACTTCCATCCGCAGACATCGGGCATTGAAGTAACTGAGGAGGTCATCACGGTGTTCAATGAGATGAAAGTGAGAAAATCGTCATGCAGTCAAGAGGAGATGAGAAAGCGAAAGAAGGCCGTGTTCTTCCGCTTGAGCGATGACCTCTCGCGGATCGTACTGGATCCGGAGAACGAGATTGTACTCGGAGACATCCTGGACGGGGTCGTGGTTAACCCCTTCGAAACTTTTACAAAAATGCTCCCCCCCACAGACTGTCGCTACGCCCTCTACGACGCAAAGTACGAGACAAAAGAGACCAAGAAGGAAGAATTGGTTTTTGTGATGTGGTCAGTGGCCGTTTTAATTCGTTTCTGGGTCTTAACTGTCTGTTGACGGGGGGGGGGGGGGGGTGGGAGGGGGTGAAGAGAGCGAGAACACAGGGCTCATAGATTTTAAAAACTCACCAAGAATTGGTGTGCCCCGACCTGCTCTGTGTCCCCCACTTTGCCCGCCCCACCATCAGCAGTCAGGCCTTCAGCCTCTCTGCCCCCCACCCCCTGAAATTCCATCCCACAGTCCCTCTGCCTCATCCCTTCTCTCCTTCAAGGGTCTCAAGACCCTCCTCTTGAACCGCGCCTTTGTTCACCCTCCTACCCCCACCCTCCCTGCCCTCCACTCCTCTTGATCCCAACCCCCAGCTCAGGTCCAGCACCTCGGGACGTCCTCCTGCTGTGAATCTTACCGCACACAAGGAGGCCATTCAGCCCACCGAGCCTGTGCCAGCTCTTTAAAAGAACTAACAACTAGTTCCACTCGCCCGCTCTTATCCCAAAGCCTTGCACATGTTTCCTTTTCAAGAAAATATCCAATTCCCTTTTAAAAGCTATTATCGAATCTGCTTCAGGCAGTGGGTTCCAGACCGTAACAACTCTCTGTAAAAACATGTCCTCCGCGTCTCCCCTCTGGTTCTTTTGCCAATTACCGTAAATCTGTGGCCTCTGGTTACCGACCCACCCATCAGAGGAAACAGTTTCCCCCTATCTACTGTATCAAAACCCCTCATAATTCTGAACCCCTCTATTAATTCTCCCCTTAACCTTCTCTGCTGTGAGGAGAACAGTCCCAGCCTCCAGTCTAGTCTCTCCACATGACTGAAGTCCCTTATCTCTGGTATCTTTGACACAGAGAGATGGGTTTTTGGGAAGGGAAGTAGAGGAAGGACACTTGGGACTGGTTCTCTCTCCCTCGCACACACCCAGGAGGATATTGTTGGGATGGAGGAGGGGCGGGGAAGGGGGCTACTAAGTATGCAAAGGAAATATTAGCCAGAACGCCCAGTTGTTTTACTTGAGTTGTTCTCTAACTTCAGGGCTCCGGAAAATGCGCCTCTTAAAAGCAAAATGCTATACGCCAGCTCCAAGGACGCAATCAAGCGGAAGCTCACAGGTAACCAACACTCTCCTGGACCGGCCCCCGTCAGGGGACTCGGGTCAAATTCCTGGCCCGCAGAAGGTTAAATATTAATGAATGTTCTATTCTTAAACTTCAACCTGCGTAAAATAAGCATCTAAAGATATTTGCGGAGGCCTTTATTGTAGTGCTTATCGAGCTCGCAAGAGAACAGCTGGGTTTAATTCACGGGCGGGTCAGGTTAGGGCTGAAACTCAGGCAAGTTTGCTCACTCCGCACACACGCACACGCACACACACACACACACACACGGGCCTCTGTTTACCCAGCAATCCACGATTATTTGCAGCTGTGAGCAATTGGCTGCTGCCTTTCACCCACAAGCTACACAGTCACTACATTTTATCAACATCTTGGGATCCAGTGGAAAGTCTGGGACGCGACACGTGCAAGCGACTGCCATGACGGCGGAAGGCGAACCGGACGGACCTTTGGTCGAGCAAATTCCTATGTTCACATCCTAACATTGACCCTTCTAAAAAAAAAAAAAATGTTGGCGTCAACGGAATAACTTTTAATACTGTATACAACTCAACAGTTATATTGGCTCTTAAAGGCCATAGTTGGCAGTGAGAGAGAGATCCTGAAACATAGCAGATACACATCCAAACTGATCTGCGAGCGAGAAAGCATTTGTTGACGTAGGCAAAAACCTTGACTTGCCAACATTTTAGCGCCGGGGAATTTGCGCAACTGGCACCGACTTAACCCCAGCGCTTGTCTAGATGTTCGGAGGCACAATGCCAGGTGGCGTTTCTATGGAGATTTATTACCCTGGGCATTGCTGGCACCTCAGCACAATAACAATTACAGCAGCACAGGCCGATCGGTCTCGACAACACAACAACAATTTGCATCCCAGAGTGCTCGACAGACGCTTACACGCCGGTTTAATTAAGACTCTCACCTGGGTCTGAAGGTCGTGGGTCCGAACTCCGCACCGCAACTCGAGCTCAGACTCCCGCTCGACTTCAGTGCGGCGATGAGCTCGATGACGTGCTTCAAGAGACGTTTAAACCATTGGCTCTTGGTTGGGTATTTCTCCCTAAAAAAATGTTGGTGGCGCGATCTCACCGCGGGCGGGACTCTGCCGGCAATTGCCGACGGGTCACCGCGCTTCACAGCGACGGTCCCTGCGGGAAGGGAATCCTCCCGCTCGGCTGCTGTTGACTCTGCAGCCGAAGCCCTTCGCGGGGAGGGTGGCCCGAGCTGGACGAGCAGCGGCCGAGCCGTGCGCGGGTGCAGCCGCAGTCACCCCGACACGCACTCTGGGCTCCCCCCCAAGCCTTGGCTCTCGCCAACCTGTGCCTAATACTCCCCGGAATTAGGTAAGCAGGGGGGGCGTCCCCTCTAGGGAGGGAGAGAGAGAGAGAGAGCGTATTCCATTCCAACGGTATCCGAGAGGTCGGGTACAGGGAATTCTCAGGTGGGTTTGGAGACTGTGTGTGTGTCAGACACCCGTCTGATCCCCCAAACGTTCACGGCAACACCGCGCAGGCGCGCGTGAAGCGCTCGGCGCCGAGTTTCTGCGGTCCCGTCGCGCCTTCTGCGGCGCACCGCTTTGACCAGCGGCCTCCCTCTCGTTGCAGGGATCAAGCACGAGTGGCAACTGAACAGCCTGGACGACATCCTGGACCTGGATAACTTGGCCGTGAAACTGGGCGGCAACAAGGTGGTGTCCGTGGAAGAAATCAAAGTGAAATAGTGCCAGCTGTGGGGGTGGGGGGGCTTCCAATGTACAGTCCCGCGCGGGTGGTGGGTCCGGCTCCGACTCCCGACTCCCCCGCCTTCGCAAACTTGACCTCCCTTCATTCTGACGCTACCAAAACGACTGACCCCTCCTCTCCCCTCGCGCCGAACTAACTCCACCGCCGCCACCCGCGGCCCCGACACCCAGAGGCGCTGCCGGAACCATCCGCTGCCAAATTGTGGTCCAAACGAAACATTCCTTAGCCTAAGCTTCGGAGACGCTCGGGGCATTGGGAGGGGGTTCGCGCACCACAGCTTATATATTCCTTGTTGAAACATTCCCCGTGGGGCGAGAGCGAGAGAGACGCGCGCACTAATTCGGTTTAATCACCCGCCTTTTCGAGGTCTCTTTCCCCCCCCACCCGCCCGCCCGCCCGCCCGCCATGTTGTAGCCGACCCTTAGCGCCGCTTGCAATCCAGCAAAGCCGCTGCGCGACGTCCCGAGGATTTTTTTTTTTTAAATTTGTTTCGTCTTTTTTTTCCCCCCCACTCAAAATCCCGCCCCGCACCCACCGCGCGAGTTGTTTGAAATATTCCCGTTTAAACCGCTGCTCCCCCTTTATTTACGCGCTCTTCCCCGGCCGGACGCAAGAGCAAACGGTATGCGTTCGGGTGGGTGGGGGGGTGGGGGGGTTTGCCGTGGGTGTAAATCCGCGTCGACCCCCGGGCTTTTCCCCCGCACACGCGCGCGCGTGATCCAAACCAGTGGAAGCATTCCCGAACCATGACGAGGAGGCTTTTGACACCGGCCTTCTTCACGGGTGTAGGTAGAAACGTGACCAAATCTTATTTAGAGGTGGGGGTGTAGGGGGGGGGGGGGGGGGGTCCCTCCATTTTAGCCACTAAAGACTCGTAGATTCCAGGACGCCATCTTGTACCATGTCCTGCGTTAGAACCGGTCCACGTGTGGGGGGAGAGTTTCCCGTTCGCAAACACTTTTGAGAGTGTCGGACGCGCCGTTTAAACAAGGAAGGCGACGCCATGACAGACCCTCACTCAGACCGCGTCCGGCGGAGAACGAAGTCGTTAAGCGACGTGCGGCGTGACGGACTGCCCGCCTTTACGGACACCGGAACGACGCCTCGCGGAGCAGTGATAACGCAGGGAATTAATCAGGTGGGACATTGGAGCCCTCGACAGATACTAATCACGGAAGCAACCGTTAACAATCTTAATAAACTTACGATCGTATTTCCCCCACGTCTCAAGTCGGTGATTTAACGTCCGCGGCGCCGCCTCGATCGCTTCCGCCGCACGGGGCTGTCCCGCCGTCGCTGAGCCGCTACCAGTCTCCTTACTCCGCACGCGCGCGCCAGGATAAGTCACTACGCCGGGCGGTGCGGTGCGGTACGTTCCTGTGAAGCACTTTTTTTGAGACATCTCAACGTGATAAGGCGCTGTATGAAATGGAAGGGTTATTCATGTTGTTATTCAAGCGCTACTCTTAAAGTTCCCGCACGTGCTCTGGGCTCTCCCCACTCCGCCCCCCCCACTCCGCCCACGCTCTCGCCAACCTGCGCCTAATACTCCCCGGAATTAGGTGAGCAGCCGCCTCCCTCCAGGGAGAGAGAGCGACGTCTTTCGTTCCGACGAGAGAGAGAGAGAGAGAGTCTCGGGACAGCAGCGAAGTGTTTGCTAATTCTTTATTGAAATTCCAGTTGATCGGAGACCATTGACCCGAGTCCCAAAACGCGGTGACATTTCGCGCAGAAGAGACACGTGTAGACATGTACAAACACACACACGCGCGCGCGCGCGCGCGGTTAGACATGCACACATACACGGGTAGACAGGTGCACGCACGCACACGCGGGTAGACGGGTGCGCGCGCGCGCGTGTAGGCAGAGAGCGTGTTTTGGTTGACGGTTCCTTCGAGCCTCGCCAGCAATCAACAGTGTAAACTCCGTGTCTAAGGAGAGGGATAACAGCCGTGTGCGTGTAGTTACACGCTAAACACGTGTGAGGTGAGGGGGGGAGTAACAGGACACACGGATTCCTCCCCCCCCCCCCGCACCCCAAAACATGACTGAACAGACTGAGAGAGAGAGAGGGGAGGGGGGGGCGTTGCTCTACCTCCGCAAACGCCCACCTCCTCGGGAAGAGGTGACGCAGCTACGCTAGGGTGGTCCAACTGCCGGCCCGCGGGCCGCATCCGGCCCTTTCGCACCGACTTCTCAAGTCTCTCTCTCTCTCGCTCGCGGTTGCAACGCAGTCAAAGGTCAGGAGCTGAGCGCGGGGTGGGGGTGGGGGTGGGTGACGTGGGGGTGGGGGTGGGGGGTGGGTGGAAGGTGCAAAGTACTTCAAAAATGTGCACCTTGGTCGGAGGAACGGGGCGGGGAAGGGGGAAGAATGCAACTCGCCTCTGGGCAATCAGACGGCCCATCTCTTCCGATAAGGCCGACGAGGAGAGCTCTTGCTCAAGAGTTCACTACCCTCCCAGCGGCGACGCCCGCCCGCCCGCACGCACACACAGACAGACACGCCTCGAGCAGGTCTAATCCTAAAGACGTCACGCGTGTGTGTGGGGGAGGTTGAGGCGGTGGAAAAGCAATTGGTAAAATGGCCGCGTAGTTTCTTTCCCATCCCACCCGGTTGAGGGAGGCCATTTTGACCTGACCTCGATTCGAGTGCGCGCGGGCGCTCGACGTAACTCAACGTCAAGATGGCTGAGGGGAGAAGGGTACACCGCAGCCCCACCCAAGCCCACCCCACCCCACCCCACCTCCCTTCCCATCGGGACCGGAGAGAATTATTAATAATAATAATAATAATAGTAGTAGTAATAAAAAAAATAAGTACGGAAGGAAGTTACTGATCCCCTTTCAGGGAGGTGAGGCAATTTCGTAGCAACAGCAAACTGGCCTGAGGGAGAGAGAGAGGGAGGGAGGGAGAGAGGGGACAGACACATCGTAAGGTTTCGCCCACCAAACGCACAGTCACTTCACTTCGCGGTTAGAGTGCGCGCGCACACATCCACAGAGGTACACACCCGCGCACACACTCACATACTCTCACACTCACTCTCACACACTCACTCTCAGGTACTCTCACACTCACTCACATACTCACACACACTCACTCTCACATACTCTCACACACACTCACTCACTCACATACTCTCACACACTCACTCTCACGTACTCTCACATACTCTCACACTCACTCACATACTCTCACACACTCACTCTCACGTACTCTCACATACTCTCACATACTCTCACATACTCTCACTCACACACACTCACTCATACTCTCACTCACTCACATACTCTCACACTCACTCACTCTCACATACTCTCACTCACACACATTCACTCTTACACACTCTCTCACATACTTTCACACTCACTCACTCTCACACTCACTCACTCTCACACACTCACTCTCACGTACTCTCACATACTCTCACACTCACTCACAAACTCTCACTCACACACACTCACTCTCATACTCTCATTCACTCACTCACATACTCTCACACTCACTCACTCTCACATACTCTCACTCACACACATTCACTCTTACACACTCTCTCACATACTTTCACACTCACTCACTCTCACACTCACTCACTCTCACATACTCTCACACTCACTCACATACTCTCACTCACACACACTCACTCTCATACTCTCACTCACTCACATACTCTCACACTCACTCACTCTCACATACTCTCACTCACACACATTCACTCTTACACACTCTCACATACTCTCACACTCACTCACTCTCACACTCACTCACTCTCACACTCACTCACTCTCACACTCACTCTCACACTCATACACACTCACTCTCACATACCCTCACACTCACCCACACACCCACCCACACACAGTCAGTCGGAACCCGCTTGTAAGTCGATTGGGGGAATCACTTTCCGGGGGTAATAAACCCTCTCCCCCCACCCCCCCACCCCCCAAAAAAATAACGACGCGCTCGCTCAATCCGCGGCCCTTTGTGGGACGTCAATGCCCACAAAACACACCACACAGTCACTACACTTGACCGGATGTGGCGTGAAGCGCTTTGAGACGTCGCGAGCGCCTGCTAAGGGGACCGTACCTTGGCGTGTTTCAGTTCCAGCTCCGTCATCTCGATCATATTCTTCCGGAAGGCCGACACTCTCCGGGTTTTGAAGTCCGTCAGTTCTGACCCGGGTGGGGGGGGTGGGGGGGGGGGAGAGAGAGAGAGGGGGAGAGGGGGGGAAAAAGAGAGGGAAGAGGGGGGAAGGAGAGGGAGAATAAAAAAACAAGAGCAACATTTTACTTTCGGCAGCAGTGACAAGAAGATTACGGAGGCCGGTCACGGTGACAGATTTCCGTGTGTGTGTGTCAGACACCCGGTCGGTCACGGTGACGGGTTTCCATGTGTGTGTGTGCGTGTGTGTCAGACACCCGGCCGGTCACGGTGACGGGTTTCCGTGCGCGTGTGCGTGTGTCAGACGCCCGGCCGGTCACGGTGACGGGTTCCCGTGCGCGTGTGCGTGTGTCAGATGCCCGGCCGGTCACGGTGACAGGTTCCCGTGGGTGTGTCAGACACCCGGCCGGTCACGGTGACGGGTTCCCGTGGGTGTGTCAGACACCCGGCCGGTCACGGTGACGGGTTTCCGTGCGCGTGTGTGTGTGTGTGTGTGTCAGACGCCCGACCGGTCACGGTGACGGGTTCCCGTGGGTGTCAGTCCCCCCCCCGCCCCCTCCCCGCTGCCCCTCACCTTGTTTGGCCGACTCTGACAAACGTTCAAACTTTTGGCAGGTGAGTTGCTGATTGGCCTCCGACTGCTTGACGTCCTTACTCTTCATCCTGGCCTTGTCCAAAGCCTTGTTGGCGTTCTCGTAGTCAGACAGCGCACGTGCCCGTCGGTACAGGAGGTCCTGGGGGAGAGGGGGTGGTGGGGGGCGGGCGGGGGCGGGGGGTGGGGGGAAGGTTACATATCAAGACATTGACTCACTGGGTGCGCTCAGCCTCTCGCTCTCTCTCTGTCACACACACACACACACACACACACACACACACACACACAGCGACAACATTTCTCCAGCAGAGACCTCTGCTGTCCGGAAACTGGAGAGAGAGAAGATGGGGAGGGATAGAGGAGAGAGAGAGAGGGAGAGAGAAGCGAGAGAGAGAGAGAGGATGGGGAAGGATAGAGGAGAGAGAGAGGGAGAGAGAAGCGAGAGAGAGAGAGAGAGGATGGGGAAGGATAGAGGAGAGAGAGAGAGAGAGGATGGGGAGGGATAGAGGAGAGAGAGAGAGGGAGAGAGAAGCGAGAGAGAGAGAGAGGATGGGGAAGGATAGAGGAGAGAGAGAGAGGATGGGGAGGGATAGAGGAGAGAGAGAGAGAGGATGGGGAGGGATAGAGGAGAGAGAGAATGGGGAGGGATAGAGAGAGAGAGAGAAGCGAGAGAGAGAGAGAGAGAGAGAGAGAGGATGGGGAGGGATAGAGGAGAGAGAGAGAGAGAGAAGCGAGAGAGAGAGAGAGAGAGAGGATGGGGAGGGATAGAGGAGAGAGAGAGAGAGAAGCGAGAGAGAGAGAGAGAGAGAGAGGATGGGGAGGGATAGAGGAGAGAGAGAGAGAAGCGAGAGAGAGAGAGAGAGAGAGAGGAGGGAGACTCGAGAACAAGCCCTACCTTTGCTGCCTGCGAATCTCTCATGTAGTAACGCAACAAGTCGGAGAGTTTCAAGTCTTCGTCTGAGGCTACTCGCCCTTCCAGCTTCTAAGAGAGAGAGAGAGAGAGGGAGAGGATGAGGATGTCACAGAGAGAGGGAGAGCGCGAGCGAGAACGTCAGAGAGAGAGCGCGCGAGCGAGAACGTCACAGAGAGAGAGAGCCCGAGCGAGAACGTCACAGAGAGAGCGCGACCGAGAAAGTCAGAGAGAGAGAGAGAGAGAGAGCACGAACGAGAACGTCACACAGAGAGAGAGAATGAGGACATCACACGGAGAGAGCGAGAACGCGTATGTCACAGAGAGAGAGAGAGAACAATTTCCCCCCTCCTACCCCAGTTTTCCCCCTCGAAAATCCAAGGGATTTCCCCCTCCCCTCCTCCCTCCCCCCCACCGAGAAGTCACCAATGGATACTCAAGGTTTACGCCCCGATCCCGGGTTCTCGTGCTTGCGAGGGGGCGAACGTCTGCCCCAAACAGGGCGCGGACGGGGAGCGAGTGAGGCTTCATGTCTCATCTCTCTCTCTCCGCCCCCAGTATACGAAGGGTTAAACTCCCCCCTCCACACCCCACACCGCCCTCTCCACCCCACACCGACCCCCCCACCCCACCCCATCCGGTCTGCAGAGCAAAGTTAACCCCCCCACTCTCAGTCCACTGACCCGGAGTTTCTCGAACAGCTCCGCAAGCTTGAGGAAGTTTCTAGAAGGAAAACAAAAGGGTTGAGACGTCTCGAAGCGCTTCGCGGAATATACCGCAAAGCGTAGCGACTGTGTGTTGCGCACGGCCGCGCGCCACAGACGGCCGCGGATTGGGTGACCGAATTATTCCTAGCGTTTTTTTTTTTTTTGCGGAGGGCGGGAGGAGGGCGAGCGAAGGCGAGACAGGGCTTGAAGGAGTAGAGGGAGGGGGAGGGGGGGGGGGGGCAGGACGGAGGGACTGTGGGATGGGGTTCCAGAGGATGGGGGCGGAGAGGCTGAAGGTTGGAGGGGCCAGGCGTGGAGGGGAGTGGGGTGGGGATGGGGGGGGAAGGTGGAACAAGCCTGAGCCCGCTGAGCGGAGGGAACAGGTTAGGTTGCCTTGTGCGTTGGGTCAAGGTCTAAAATGGTGGCCGGAAAGGCAACCTACTTGTTGAGAGGACTGGCCTCCAGCGTGCCCAGGCTACTGAGAGCGGAGGAGATGGGTATGTAATCCTCGGCAACATCTGCGGGCAGAGAGAGAGAGAGAGAGAGAGAGAGGGAGAGAGGGGGAGGCGGGGAGAGAGAATAACGGTCAAAATAACGACCCTTGCCTTTGACCCGGCGCCTCATCGCGTGGGTCAGACGTGTCAAAGCGCGTCACGGGACGCACCGTGAAGTGCGGTGGCGAGTGGCGGCCAATTGCGCCCGGCCACGTCCCCACAGGCAAGTCGCCTAAGGTTTCGCCCCGACCCGCCTGGGAATGGAACCCGGGTCCTCTGACCGCTGAGAGCTACAGGACTAAGGTTCCTCCCCACCCGCACCCCCCACCCACCCATCACCCCCCACCCACCCATCACCCCCCCCCACCCCCCCCAACGCTGTTTAAACGTACTTTTGTGAGCTCTCGTCATCCTGTCGGTCTTTAGGGTGGCGTCTCGCACCCGGTTGTGGTATTCCACAAGGAACGTCCTCTCATGCTCAAAGAATTCATCCACTTCCTGCAAGAGAGGAGACTCGTATAATGTACACCACCTGCAAACTCACTCACTAAACTCCGTCCCCCACCCCCACCACCATCACCCCAGCCCTCCCCCCCCCTCACCCCCCACCACCATCACCCCAGCCCTCGCCAGGCTCCACATCGCACCCTAAACTCCATCCCCCCCCTCACCCCCCACCACCATCACCCCAGCCCTCGCCAGGCTCCACATCGCACCCTAAACTCAATCCCCCCCCCCATCCCCACCACCATCACCCCAGCCCTCGTCAGGCTCCACTGGCTCCCTGGCGCCCAAGGGATCCATTTCAAGATCCTCTCAATCCCTGGCATCACTCCTCCCGCCCCCTCCTTCCTCTCCCGACCTGCTTACTCCCCAGCCGTCTCCAGCCTCCTGCTCGTCCCCAGTGCCCTCCGCTCCACCATCGGCGGCCGCACATTCAGCACACCGAGGCCCTGAAACTGTCTCCCTCGATCCCTCCTTTAGATCACGAATCAAGACCTTTACGATTTCCTCCCACCCCCTCCCCCTCGCCCCCCCCACCACCGGCTTGGCATCAAGCTCCATCACTGTCAAGCGCTCTGGTGCGCAGCGTGACCGACTGGCCAGGTGGGGGTGACCCGAGTGACTTCCTGTGCTGAGCATTGCCGAGTGGCTTCTCTCACCTTGACCCCAGAGATGCCGGCAATCAGAGCCTCGTCCGCAGACTTCACGATGTTCTTGAGGAACCCGCCCAGGATTTCCTTCTTGTTCTTCCCTCGGATGCTGAGCTGCAGCCACAAAGACGGGAGGCGTGGGTCACGGGTGTCGAGGAGCCTGGCGAGGGTTTTGGGCGGCGGCGCAACTTGGGGTGGTCCAACTGGAGGCCCGCGGGCCACATCCGGCCCCCCTCTGGGTGTGTGTGTGCGTTTGTGGAGTAAGGAAAATTTGCCTTAGGTTTCGCCCTGCCCAGGGATTTAATCCAGGTCCTCTCGTTTGCTTACGAAGCCAACGCTCTCTAACCACTACGCTGCAATGATGGGCACTTGGTTCCTGTTCAGAGCTTTTTTTTGCTTAAGCAATAAAACGTGTGAGGTTCGGGCGTGAATTCATGTGGTTGTAAACGACAGTCAGTCGGTCACACAGCTGTAAATCCTAACCCACTAACTATTTCCATCTGCACCACACACTCGGGTGTCTTGATTTACGGCAAGTCAGTGCTTGATGTACTGCTGTTACACAGTGGGTCACACACCTCCTCTGCTGGACGCAACCGCTCAGTGCAAGTAACAACAGACGACATTTACACGGCACGTCATGGATTTGAACCGAGCTGGGGGTTGCTGTCAGGAGGGGTGGAGGGCAGGGAGTGTGACCGAAGGAGCGGAGGGTCTTGAGATGTGGCTTGAAGGAGGCGAGGGAGGGGGCGAGGCGGAGGGACTGTGGAATGGAGTTCTAGAGGGTGGGGGGGGGGTAGAGAGGCTGAAGGCCCGACTGCCGATGGTGGGGTGGGCTGGGGAGGGGAGGGAGAGGAAAGGTCGATAACGCAGCCACGAGCAGTTAGACGGGGAGAAGGAGAGGGGGGGGGGGAAATGGGGGTTTGGAGCTTACGTCTTGGTCGTACTCCAGGAAGACGTAGAAGTTGTGGTCTTTCCTCAGCACTGGGTGTGCAGCCAACCTCTGGAGAAACACCTCGTGCATCGCTACCGTCTTCTTAAAGATAGCCAGGTACTCACTGCAGAGGGGAGAGAGGGTGGGGGGGGGAGAGAGAGGGGGTGGGGATGGGAGAGAGAGAGAGGAAGACACAGAGGCAGAGAGTGAAGGGAGAAAAACAGAGACAGGCACATGGGGTGGGTGAAGGGGAGGGGGGAAGGGAGAAGGGGCATGGGGGGGGGAAGAGGGAGGGAGAAGAGGGGGAAAGGGAGAGGGAAGAGAGGAGAAGGGGCATGAGAGAGAGGGGGAGAGAGACACACGAGAGAGAAGGGGGAAAAAGAAAGATACACCCATGGGGTGGGTGTGTCGGGGGGAGGTAGGGAGGGGGTAAAACATGAAAGGGAGAAGAAAAAAGTATCTCTCATCATGTCATGCCCTCTGCATTGAAGTCAAGCTCGACCCCCACCCACACCCCCCACCCCCACCCCCCACCCCCCTCTACGATCTCCAGACACTCACGCCTCCAGCTCCTGTTTCATCTTGGCGAACTCCTCTCTCGTCATGGAGCCGTCGCCCTCTCCCAGCTTCTGCAGCTTTTCCCGGGAGGCATCGAAGTCCGGCTTAGGGGGTGCAGGCGGGATCTGGGTGGGGGGCAGAGATAGGCCGGAATCAGGCGCGATATTGACCCCAACTCCCCCCCCCCCCCTCCCCTCCCCAACTCCCAACGAGTTCCACACAAAAAAAAAGTGGGGTCGCAAAGAAAGATCTTTATGCGGGTTTTAAAAGGTGGGGTGGGGGGGGGGGGGAAGGAGCTTCACGTGACCCCTTATCAAACGGGGTGGGGTGGGGGGTGGGGGGGGAAAGAGAGGATACTCACGATAACGCCGGCGTACTCTTCGTTCTCCACGTAGGCGTCGTGGAGCCAGATGAACTCCTCGTGCTGTCTGACCACCGAGAACTCGGCTTGCTTGAAGTAAGCCAGGTTCGTCTGTAGGTTATTAATAATAATAATAATAATAATAATAAAAATAATAATCCTCGGACGTGATGCGGCGCCTCATGGCGTCTTCGAGACGTCTCAAAGCGCTTCTCGGGATACACGGCGGAGTCAAGTGACTGTGTATTTTGTGGGCAGCCAATTTAAAGGGATTATTGTTATTATTACTCCCCTTTCCGAATTCAAGATCCTCGTCCTCACCTACAAGGCCATTCACGGCCTCGCTCCCTCCTACCTCTCCGACCTACTATCCCCCTACCTACCTGCCCGTACCCTCCGTTCCTCTGGCTCCGCTCTGCTCCACATCCCCCGCCCCAACCGCCCTACCATCGGTGGCCTTCAGCCTCTCAGCCCCGAGGCTCTGGAACTCCATCCCCAGTGCCTTCATTGCCTCCTCCCTTTCCTCCTTCAAGGCCGGTCTCAAGACCTTTCTCTTTGACCGTACCTTCAGCTCCCCTCTCGACTCTCTACCCCCTCCTCGCTCCCTCCCTTCCCTCCCCTCACCCTGACCATTTCCCCCCAATGCTCGGGTCCTGACCCAACTGTACAGCGCCTTGGGACGTCCTCCCGACGTGAAAGGCGCTCAATAAATGGAATCTTGTTGTTGTTTCCCCTTGTCTCCTTCAAGACCCTCCACTTCGACCGCCCTTTGGCTCACCCCCCCTACCCCGACCCTCCCCGGCCTCCACCCCTGCTGATCTCCTGCGCTACAAGTTAGAAGCCTGGTCTTGTGTCTCACGCACCTTGGTGTGAACCGTGAACTTGACCTTGTCTCTCTCGCTCACCGCGTCTGATATCTCCACCTGCAGTGAGGAGTCTGTCTGGAGATCCACCGACATGGTTCTGGACTACAGGAAGGCAGAGAAAAAGAAAGAAAGAGGGAAGCGGATGATTAAAAATAACTTGCGTCCAGAGAGATGTCCCCCCCCCCAAGATCTGAGTCTCTCTCTCTCTCTCTCTCTCACACACACACAAACCCCCCCAACAACTTGCCCCTCACCCAGAGAGCCTATAGCTGCAGAGAAACTACACGCTCTGGTGGATGGCGGGGGGTGTGGAATCCAGAACAAGGGAGGCATCATCTTAAAGTTAGAGCCAGGCCATTTCGGAGTGAAGTCGGGAGGCAGTTTTTTTCACCCGAAGGGTTAGTGGAACTCTGAAACTCTCTCCCTCCCCCCAAAAGGCTGTGGATTATGGCTGAATCCATTCGCATCCTCAAGACTGAGGTGGACCCGATGCTTGTTAGGTCAGGGTACCAAGGGATGTGGGGCAAGGGCAGGTAATTGGTGTTGAGCTACAGGTCAGCCATGATCTAGTAAGATGGTGGAACGGGCTCGAGGGGCTGAATGGCCTCCTCCTGTTCCTGACTTCCAGGTTTACTGCTGCAATGAGCCTTAGCTTGGGGTTAGAGAAGAAGGGGTTAGAAAGAGGAGGATAAATGGTCCACGGAACAGAAGGCTAACCCAGATAGCTGCTCTGCCAAATACACAGCGTTGTCGATCGCTAATAAATAAGAGAACAAAGGCGGGTTTTGTGCTGCCAAGTCGGGTGGGTGGGTGGGTGGGTGGGGGGGGGGAAAAGGGTCTGATGACAGCGATTAGCTGACATCCAGTTACACAGACTACATCTTAAGGGCAAGACTTTTACTGCCATCTTTAGCGGAGACAGGAGCCGGCTTTAATTAAAGGTCACGATAATAATAATCATTGCGTTTGATACAGAGCCTTATCAAGGTCTTGCTCCCCTCTCCGACCTCCTAACCCCATATCAACCCGTCTGCTCCCTCTGCTCGGCGGACACCGGCTGCTTCAGGTGCCCCATACTTCCCGCCCCACCATTGCCTGTTGGGCATTCAGCCTCTCTACCCCCCGCACACCCTGGAACTCTATCCCGCAATCCCTACGCCTCACCTCCTTCGAATCCAAGCTCAAGCCCTCCCTCTCCGACCGTGCCTTCAGCCACCCTCCCACCCTACCCTCCACCCCTCCTGACCCCAACTCGGGTCCAAAAAAACTTGTTTCTTCGAGACGTCTCGAAGCGCTTCGCAGGACACGCTGTACAGGGCGGTAAACTGTACGGACCAAAGCTAAAACGCGGCACACTGCCTTCACCGAGTTAGCCGTCGTCCCGTACCGTTAATGCGCTAAGTTGCGCGGGACAAAATAGCACACAGCCGGAGGAGACACGGGAATTCTATGAGAATTTTATGTATTCTCTCCTCTCCCCTCCTCGCCAACCCCCCACCCCACTCGCTCGACTCCTTCAAGACCCTCCTCTTCGACCGCGCCTTCGGTCACCTTCCTACCCCCATCCTCCACCCCCCTCCTGATCCCAACCAGCAGCTCAGGTCCAAATCCCTGGCAGTCCAGCGCCTCGGGAAGTCCTCCCGCCGCGAACGGCGCCAGCGCAACGCGTCGTTGCTGTCTCCCCCCGGACTCCAGTCGCTGACGAACCACCGCTCCCTTTCCGCTGGGATCCGAGGCTCCAGCGTTTAGGAACGTCGGCAAGAGTTAAACTGAGGCGCTATTGTCAAAACTTACCATTGCATAAAGGGTTGACCTGAATTCTGACAAGCGGGTCAAAATAATCATTTAGACGGAGGCAAGGACAATGTGAGAGATTCTCTACTTCGGTCTCTCTGCCCCCACCCTCTGGAACGCCATCCCAGAGCCCCTCCGCCTCGCCTCCTTCCAAGACCCTCCTCTTCGACTGCGCCTTGGTCATCACATGGCCCTCCATTCCTTCCCCCTCCACCCCCCCACCCCCCAATCAACCAGTTAGTAACACGAGGACATCAATTTAAGACAAACAGTTAACAAACGGGGAGGTTGGGAGAAATTTTTTCCGTCACGCACAGAACGGTTAGGATTTGGAACGCCCTGCGGTCAAGGCAGAATCCGTATAATGTTAATAACACTCCTTGCATTTGATTCTGCCCCTTATCGCGCTGTTGAGGCGTCTCAAAGCGCTTCACGGAATAAACTGTAAAGCGTAGCGACTGTGTGCTCGGTGGGTGAAACGCAGCAACCAATCGAGCACAGCAGTGTCCCACGAACATCGTGGATTGAGTGACCAATTCCGTCTTTTGGGCGGAGGGATTATTAACCCCAGAAAGCAATCTGCCAATGGACTGACAAGTAAACAGAGACGTGCTGGAGTAAGGAAACTTGCCAAAGGTTTTACTCTGACTCACCCGAGAATCGAACCTCTCGCTTGCTGGTGAGGTGAGCGCTCGAACCACAATGCTACCGGACTCCACGACAGAGTGAATGAATATGGGCCATTACAGCCGTAAATTTCTATGCTGCTCAAAGCACTTCACAGGATTTACTGGAAAGTGTAGTATCTGCGTTTTGGGTCAGTTTTCCGATTGATTTAAAATTATCTACGAGCTTATAGAATGGTGGAACAGGCTTGATGAGCTGAATGGCCTCATCCTGTTCCTAGGTTCTCTCTCTCTCTCTCTCCCTTAGGCAAGCACCTGAACCAGGCATTTCCTTGGAAAGAACCACCTGTTTTTTTTGCACGTTGTGCTAATCAAATATATTCCAATCCTCTCATTCGATACAGAAATTCTAGTTCTCTCCAAAAAAAGCGCTTCACGCGCGTTTGCTGTCAAGTGTAGTGACTGTGCATTGACAACAGAAACTGTCGTAACGACTTTGCTTGAGTTCAAAGCAAGTATAAGAGCCAATGACTGTGGGCAAACTGGAGAAGGAGGGATTGTTCTTCTCAGAGGAGAGAAGGTTGAGTGGACATTTAATTGAGGAGTTCAAAATGACGAGAGGTTTTGATTCACTAGATAGGGAGAAAGAACCTGTTTCCTCTGGCAGGTGAGTCGGTAACCAGAGGACACAGATTTAAGATAATTGTCAAAAAAAAAAGACAATTTTGTTTCGAAATTTTCCAATACCACAGGGTGGTGATAATGTGGAATTAACCAGCGCCTCGGGACGTCCTCTCAACGTAAAAGGCGCTACACAAATGTAATCTTGTTGCTGTACAATGTGTGTGGTTGAAGCAGACAGCAATAATGCATTCAAGAGGAAATTTGATGCAGACGTGAGGGAATAGGGGGAGGGGGGGGGGGTGGTGGGGGATAAAGGCACAGGTGGAGGCTCAATCACAACAATCAGGAGGGGTGGAGGGCAGGGTGCGTGGGGGTCGGAGGGTGACCGAAGGCGTGGTCGAAGAGGAGTTGGACCTTGAAGGAGGCAAGGGAGGGAGTGAAGCTCTGGGATGGAGCTCCAGAAAGTGGGGACAGAGAGGCTGAAGGCCCGACCTGCACAATGCTGTTACGTCCAATTTCCTGGGTCAGACCAATTCCCACGTCAACTGCCTCCAGTCCTACTTTCACGTCTCCCTGTCCTTCACGCCCCTCACCCACCCATCCACCCAACAATGATGCTTTTTAAAGGCAAATGCAATAAATTCAGCAATACTCTCTTGAAACAGAATTTTGTTTTTTTTTCAATGAATCACAATGAAAAGGGGGAGAGAGAGAGTGAGAGAGAGAGAGAGAGAGAACATAGGAACAGGATTAGGCCATTCAGCCCCTCGAGCCTGTTCCATCATTCTATAAAATCATGGATAATCTGTACCTCAAGTCCAATAACCCACCCTTGCCCCATATCCCTTGACACCCGTGGGACATCCTCCCGACGTAGGTTGTGGTGGGATCCTGACCTAACGAACGTCTATCCACCGCAGACTCAGTCTGGCCAACGTGAATGGATCCATAACCCGCAGGCGTCTGGGGTGGAGGGGGAGAATTCCACACTTCCGCTCCCCTTTGGGTGAAAAAGTGGTGCCTGATTTTTTTTTCACTCCTTAAACGGCTTAGCTCTAATTTTAAGATCCACCCCCACCACCCCCCCGGGCACCGCAGGGAATAGTTTCTCTGTATCTACCCTATCGAATCCTTTTATTATTTTAAACGTACAAAATAATAAAGAGAAGTGGCAGTCTTAACCACGACAACAGCTGGCACTTATATAGCACCCGCCACGCAGGGTAACTTCTCAAGAGCGCTTTACAGTGGCAGAGCCGGGCTCCGAGCCGGGGGGGGGGGTGGGCGACTGTAAGCACGGTCGAAGAGGAAGGTTTTCAGGCGGGACTTGAAAAAAGGGGGGGGGGGCAAGGTGGAGGGACTGAGAGAGAGAGAGAGAGTGAGAGTGTTCTCGAGTGTTTTGGGGCGTAGCGGCTGAAAGCGCGACCTCCGGTAGCGGGGGCGGAGGACGCGAGGAGGAGGGGGGAGCCGGCGGGCGGATCGGGGTGGAGCGAGGCGGGTCGGAAAGGCGCCGGGCGAGCGGAGGGATTCGAACGCGGGGGCGCGGGCGAGGTGTTCCGTTTTCCTTGCCGGCATTCGCTTGCCCACGGAGAAAAGTGCAGCCCCTTACAAATAAAAACTCAAGTGAACATTTCTCAACCAGCTTTCCTTCCACGGAGCAGCACTTGCAACACAAATCAGCTGATCTTGTTGTGTACCAAATTCCCCTTTTCTCCCCCCCTCCCCCCCCCCCCAAAAAAAGAAGGGACATTTATCTATACATCTGCACACAGCCACATTTTTTTTTGGGGGGGGGGGGAGGGAGGGAGGTTTGCATCTTATCCTATTTACCTTCGTGTCTTCTGCCTCGAACAAATCTTGGCTTCCTTCCATTTGCTTTCTGCTGCTGGAGGAATAAAGATCTTTGCAAAAAAAAAAAGAAAAGGAGCTTTGCAAAAAAACAAACACACAACACACACACACCAATGCGATACCAACCGCCTTCCCTGTGCACAATGTCTCCTTTAAGGGGGAAGCCCTGAGCAACGGGAGGACTCCCGACTAGTCCTCCGGGAGGGTCAAGTTGCCATCGCTCTCCGCTGGGTCGCCTCTTGCTCCCCCGCTGCCACCTCCTTGGCGCCCGCCCGCCCGTTCGCCCGCCCACTCCGGGGGGAGGGGGGTGGGCGCCTGACAAAGCAGCGGCCTCGACTGATTGGACGAGCGAGCTGTCAGTCAGGCCGGCGGCACGGAGTCTTAAAGGGACCGCTCGAGCTCGCGCGAGGGCCGCCGGCGGTTGACGGGTAACGGTTGACAGTTGGGCCGCTCCGTCGAGGGGAGAAAGAGCGAAACGGGACCGAGAGCGAAAGGGGACGCGACGCGACGTTTGATCCTTTACGTTTCCTCAGGTGAGTCCCCGGCGACTTTGTTTTGGTTTTTTTTTTTGGCGCTTCCCGCCGTTATTTTTTTTTTTAACCGGTCGACGACGGAGAAGGAACGATTTTAAACTCGCGTGCACGGACGCGGTTGCTGTGGCGGCGGGGAAAGGGCGAGAGGAGGCCAGAAGCCGCTCGCGCGTCCGCCGCGCGCCGCCGCCACCGACGACGACCGTTGACGATTCCCGCGCAGCTTGGCTCGCCCTCACTCCCGTCAGCCCCCCCTCCCTGCCCTCACTCCCGTCAGCCCCCCCTCCCGCGCGCGGCCTCCCTCCCTGCCCTCACTCCCGTCAGCCCCGCCCCCGCCTCTCGCGCGTGGCTTCCCTCCCTCTCTCCCTGCCCTCACTCCCGTCAGACCCCGCGCAGCCACACATGCCCCGCCCCCCCACCCCCTCGCTGGCGGGAAATTTGAATCCTCGAGGGCGGGGAGGGGTTCGCGTGACATCACACCGGACCAGGTGTGAAGGAGGAACGCACATACATGTATGTATCGTCATGTTGTCAAGACGTCTCAAAGCGCTTCACTGGGTATACACCGTAAAGTGTAGTGACTGTGTTTTGTGGGTGGAACAACAACAGCAACAAGATTGCATTTATAGAGCGCCTTTCACGAGGCGTTGGACAGTTGGGTCGGGACCCCAGCATTGGGGGGGGGGGGGAAATGGTCAGGGTGAGGGGAGGAAAGAGAGGGAGCGAGGAAGGGGGGAGATGGTCAGGGTGACGGGAGGGAAGGAGGGAGCGAGGAGGGGGGAGATGGTCAGGGTGAGGGGAGGGAAGGGAGGGAGCGAGGAGGGGGGAGATGGTCAGGGTGACGGGAGGGGAGGGAGGGAGCGAGGAGGGGGGAAATGGTCAGGGTGAGGGGAGGGAGGGAGGAGGGGGAGATGGTCAGGGTGAGGGGAGGGAAGGGAGGCAGCGAGGAGGGGGGAGATGGTCAGGGTGAGGGGAGGAAAGAGAGGGAGCGAGGAGGGGGGAGATGGTCAGGGGGAGGGGAGGGGAGGGAGGGAGCGAGGAGGGGGGAGATGGTCAGGGTGAGGGGAGGGGAGGGAGGGAGCGAGGAGGGGGAGATGGTCAGGGTGAGGGGAGGGAAGGGAGGGAGCAAGGAGGGGGGAAATGGTCAGGGTGAGGGGAGGAAAGAGAGGGAGCGAGGAGGGGGTAGAGAGTCGAGAGGGGAGCTGAAGGTACGGTCGAAGAGAGATGTCTTGAGACCGGCCTTGAAGGAGGAGAGGGAGGAAGCGGCGAAGGCACCGGGGACAAAAGAGGGACACAAAGACGTGAAAGAGAGAGAGAGGGGGACAAGAGATAATAATAATAATTATTATTATCCTTGCATTGAATACAACAACAAATTACGCTTGTGTAGCGCCTTATCACCTGTTTGATATGTCTCAAAGCGCAAACCCACACACGTATGAGAGGCCAAAAGGAGAGAGAGAAGTAAGACAATAGGGAGAAACAACAGATATACACACGCGCAGACGAGAGAGAGAGAGAGAGAGAGAAGATGAGGCAGATAGAGAAACGAGACGAGACGAGAGAGAAACAAGACAAGGTCCTTAGGGACGTCCTTCCGACATAAATGATATATAAGGGAGCTATATAAATTATATATACCGTGTTGTTGATGAGACAAAGAGAGAGAGATAGAGAGAGGGAAACAAGCCGAGACAGAGAGAAACGAGAGCGAGCGAGCGAGAAACCAGCCGAGAGAGAAAAGCGAGAGAAAATTAGATGAGAAAGAGAGAGAATTAGATGCTTAAGCGTCTCCAAACAGGACTAAGACTTCCGTGCACACAGACTGCACGTGGGAACTCTCATGGCCGGAATGGAATGCACCCTCTCTCTCTCTCTCTCTCTCTCTCCCAGTAGCCCCTGACGTTTGATTATCTCGGCCTTATCATGTGAAAACGTTTCAGAGAGATACTCATTCGATTTCAGATTTCACTGGCTGCCCATCCCCCAGAGGATCGGGGTCAAAATCCTCGCCCTCGCTTTCCACGGCCTCGCTCCTCCCTACCGCTGTGATCTGCTAACTCCATACCAACCTGTCAACTCAGCGGACCTCCGGCCGGCTCCACGTCCCCACATTGGCGGTCGAGCCTTCAGCCTCTCCGCCGCCCCCCACCACCCTATGGAACTCCATCCCACAGTCCCTTCACTTCACCCCCTCTCTCGCCTCCTTCAAGGCCTGTCTGAAGACCTTCCTCTTCGACCAATAACCAGTGCGTTCGGTCACCCTCCTATCCAAACCCTCCAACTCAACTCGACTGTCCAGCGCCTTGGGGCGTGCAAGGCATTCTCAGTTGGGTTTGGAGACTCTTAAACAATAGTGACAGGTTTCTGCATGTGTCAGACATCCAGCCGACTGCTAAAGAATTAAAAGTTATTGCCCCCAATCACTCGCTTTCTGTTCTAGGAATGTCATAAGGTCGGTTACTGCAATGTGACAGATCAAATTCCTCCCACCTCGTTGTGTGCTATCTCTGGTGTTTCCCTCAAGGCTGTTTACCGCTATAATATTTGCATAATGTACTTGGGAGGAACCTTATCTGATACGAGACACGCAATGATGAAAATAAACCCTTTAACCACAACGTTCCGTATCCAGGCCGACCTTCCAGTTAAATAATAATGGAAATAACAATAATAATCCTCGCATTCACTACAGCGCCTTATCACGTCGTCGAGACATCTCAAAGCGCTTCACAGGATACACTGTAAAGTGGGTTGACTGTGTGTTTTGTGGGCAAAACGCGGCGGCCAATTGCACACGGCAGTGTCCCACAGTCGTGAACTGAGTGACCGTTTTTTATAAGGGATTATTACCTCCAGAAAAGCGATCCGGCAATCAACTAACAACTGGTTTCCTACTAACTGATAGGTAAATAGAGGCGTGGGGAGGAAGCAAACTCGACTACGGTTTCGCTCTGCCCGGGAAAAGAGAGGAGAGTTTTTCTTTCTCTCTCTCTCTCTCTCTCTCTCTCTCTCTCTCTCGGAGTCCTGGCCAAAAAAAACCTCGGTAAAATCAGCATTGTGGTCGCTTACGGGGTTCGATTCCCGGGGCAGGGCGTACCCTTGCTTGCTTAAAAAGGAAAAATGTGCAGGGCCATGGAGTGGAGGGGAAGGGGACTAGTTCAAAGAGCTGGCACTGGCCCAATGGGCCGAATGGCCTCCTTCTGCGCTGTAGGATTCTAGGATTTTACGCACACACTTATATAACAGCACGAATGAATAACAGGCTTGAAAGGGTGATTATTGTTCCATCGTAACTGGTTTCACTGGTTCAACCTCTCCTTCCATTAAGCTCCAGGCTTCAATGTATTGGCTTGGGTGAAGATGTGAGTCACTGTCAGAGCAGTTAGGCTGTGCTCAGCTGTTGGTGAGGATCGCTTACCTACTGTACCTTCACACCATCCTCCCCCCCCCCCTCTCTCTTAACTCTCTGAATGCCAAACCAGTTCATCTCTCTTTCTTTCTCTCGCTCTCTGCCCTTTCTGACGCCCAACGTTCTCCGGAGAGAAGGGCAGCCAAGGCTCCGCGTGCAGGTCAGATACAAGGGAAATCTCAGTTGGGTTTGGAGACTCTTGAGCACCGGTGATGGGTTTCCGCGTGTGTGGGACACCCGGCTGATCCCCCGAAAAACGTCCCAAACAAAAAAGATTTATTCAAGACGTTGACAGGAAATCGGAAAACACAGGACAGGCAGACAATTCCTCGTTTAATTTACAAATACGTTTCCTCCCCTTCACCCAAAAAAAAATGGTTAAAAGAGATGTACAAAATATATAGCGATTATTTCCTCAGCCCAAAAGTTCTGGGTCACCGCAACAAGAAAAGGATATCGCAGTGATTGAGATTGAGATGGATACAAAGGAGAGTAACCAAAATGATTGAGAGGACGGAGGGATTGAACTACAAGGAGCAATTAGATAAACTGTGGCGTGTTCACACTGGAGAAGAGAAGGTTGAGGGGTGATATGATATGATATGCGAACCGAGTTCCTATTTACTGCTGGGTACCAACAATAATAATCCTCGCGTTTGACATAGCGTCTTATCATTGAGAATACGCTGTAAAGCGTAGCGACTGTGTCTTTTGTGGGCGAAACGCGGCAGCCAATTGCGCCCAGCGGCGTCCCCACAAGAGTCAGTCGCGGATCGACTGACCAAATCCTGGTGGTCGCGTGCACGTGTATGTCCCGAGCTACCTGGGTTCTGCGTCCCATCACGTTATTTCCTAAAAGAAAACTTGCGGCTAGCTAGACAGAGGCCCTCGCGTGGAATAAGGAAACTTGCCAAAGATTTCCGCCCGGGAATCGAACCCGGGTCCTCTCGCTTGCTCGCAAGACGAGCGCTCTGACCACTGAGCTACAGGTGGGAGGGCGGAGAGGAGGGGGAGAAGAGGGAGAAAGAGAAAAGCCATCAGCTCCCATTACCCTCCAGTAGGGAATTAATGGTCGACTTCAAAGCGACGGTGACTTTTTTGGAGTTTTTTTTCAGGGACGGACTATCTGGATGACTTTCTTTCATGTGGAGGAGATAACCTTCGTGGCTCTTGGCTGTGAAGCCACATTCCTCACACACGTAGAGCTTGGCTCTGCGTTCCTTGTAAGCGTACAGCTGTTGCACTCCATGGATCTTCTTGAGATGGGATTCCAATGAGCAGCGCTGAGTGAATGCTTTGTCACAGAGGTTACACTTGTACGGACGGATTCCTGGCAGGAGAGAGAGAGAGAGTTACCCCAACGAACGCTCTGGGCTCCCCCACAAGCCTTGGCTCTCGCCAACCTGCGCCTAATACTCTCCGGAATTAAGTAAGCAGAACTGTGGGAGAGGACGTGGGACATTCTCAGTTGGGTTTGGAGACTCTTAAGCAACGGTGACGGGTTTCCGTGCGTGTCAGACACCCGGCCGGTCGCGGCGACGGGTTTCCGTGCGTGTCAGACACCCGGCCGGTGGCGGCGACGGGTTTCCGTGCGTGTCAGACACCCGGCAGGTCACGGCGACGGGTTTCCGTGCGTGTCAGACACCCGGCCGGTCACGGCGACGGGTTTCCGTGCGTGTCAGACACCCGGCCGGTCACGGTGAAGCCAATTTCCCCCCTCCCCATCCCTCCTTCTCGCCCGCCATTACCTGTGTGTGTCCGCACGTGTCTCTTGAGATCAAAGGTGTCGTTGAATCCCTTCCCACAGAAGTTGCACAGGTGGCGCTTCACCTCATTGTGGCACTTCATGTGACGGTTCAACATGCGTTGGAATTGGAAGGTCTTCTGACACAGACCGCAAGTGAGCAGCTCATCTGCACACTCCCCTGTGGTCACCTGGACTCCACAAACACACACACACACATACACACACACAAACATACAGAAAACACGCACGCACACAGAAACACACAGAAACCCACACACAGAAACACACACCCACACAGAAACACACACGCACACACAGACACGCACACACAGACACGCACACACAGACAGACAGAAACACACACACAAAAACACACACACACGCACACAGAAACACACACAGAGAAAAGCGGCCATTACAAATAACAAGGAGAATCCTCGCGTCCGCTATAGCGCCTCATCACGTCTTCGAGACAACAACAACCAACACCTTGGTTTACATAGCAATCCTTCGCTACAGGGTAGCGTCCCAGAGCGCTCAGAAAAAGACGACTCAAAAGAGCTTCACGATCATACCGTCACGTCGCCGTGTGTAACCGGCCGCCGCGGTTCACCCCCCCCCCCCCACCCCCCAAAAATAAAAATAAAGTCACTCCGCTTTCCGATAGATTCTGCGAAGCGCTGACGGTGATAATCCTGGCCTTTGACGCGGCGCCCTCTCGCGTCGTTGCGACGTCTCTGAGCGCTTCGCAGGACGCACCGTAAAGGCTGTGCATGTTACGGGCGAAACGCGGCAGCGCGGCAGGATGCGGGCGATAGATTTCTACCTTGATCTTAGACCGAACAAACGTCGTCTCTGCGCTGCCCGGTAACCGCACGTGTATCGTGTTCTCTAGGTCTTGAACCGAGGTGCCCGAGTCCGTGTCGTAAGCAGATTCCTTCTCTGTCCCGTCCTCGTTCGCCAAACACAACGGAATATCCGAGTATTCCGGTTCCCTGTATCTTATGATCTCCAGCGGATCTGCGTGCGTGTGCGTGTGCGTGCGTGTGTGTGTGCGGTGGTGGGGGGAGACAACAACAACAATTTAGAGTCCAGTAGCTTAGCGATTAGCGCACTCGTCTCACAGCTGAGAGGACCCGGGTTCGATTCCCGGGCGGGCAGGGCGAAACCTTTCCTTACTCCACGCAGGAATACGCGCACACGCGCACACGCCGCACGCGCACACGCGCGCGCACACGCCTCTGTTTACCCAGCAGTACGTAGGAACCCGATTGTTAGTCGATTGGCGGACGATGGCTTTTCCCGGGGGGTGATAATCCCTTCAAGAAAAACAAAGAGATTCGCGACTGTTTGTGGGGACGTCGCCCGGCGCAGTTTGGCTGCCGTGTTTCGCCCATCTGGGGGATGGTCAGCCAGGACGCCGAGGGACAGAGAGAGAGAGAGGGAAATACGGCCCTTCTCTTTACCGGACAGCCCAGGGGTAGGTCTTTTAATAATAATAATAATAATAATCTTTGCATTTGATATAGCGCTTTTCACGTCGGGAGGACGTCCCAAAGCGCTTCACAGAACACACTGTAAAGTGAATTGACTGTATATTTGTGGGCGAACGCGGCAGCCAATTGCACACAGCAATGTCCCACAAACAGTCGTGGATTGAAAATGACCAATTTCTTATTGTTTTTGGTTTTGGAGGATTATTATTAGGCTCTGTGTGGAGTAAGGAAACTCGCCCGAGGTTTCGCCCTCTGCCTGGAATTGAACTCAGGTCTCTCACTCACAAAGCGAGTGCTCTAACCACTGAGCTACAGGACTCCGATGTCCTTTTAACGTCCGCCTGAACCGGGCGCAAGCAGGGAGTGAGGTTCAACGTCAATTTGCGCTGTTCCAGGGCGCTCACTCAGTCCGGCTCATCGCCAGGACCTGGAAGGGTCGACCAGTCACTGGGGGCAAGGAATCCTACCCCCTCAGCTCCCGTTAACCCCGCAGCCAAAGCCCCAACTAACTAACTAACTAACTAACGGTGGAGGGGGGGTGGGGGGGGGGGGGGTCCTAGCTGGACACGCAGCGGGAAAGCTTGGCCAGACATCTCTCTCACTCTCTCTCTCTCTCAATGGCGGTTTGACGAGCAGCAGTTACCCCCCCCCCCCCACCCCCCCAACGGACACTCTGGACCCATTTGCGACGTCCTCAGAAACAGCCGCGAAGCGAGCGAGCGATTTTATCGGGGGGATTGTTGGCCAAGACCCTGGGAGAGAGAGAGAGAGAGAGAGAGGGAGAGAGAGACCCTCTTTTCCTCCCCGACAACGTCGGCGAGAGATGTTTAACGTCCACCTGAACGGGGGCACAGACGGGGAGTGAGTGAGGTTTAACGTCTCCTCCGCAGCAGAAAGCGTCTCAAAAGTCCTGACCATTGTCAGAGGATTGTTAATATTATTAATAATAAAAAATACAACGTTTTTAGCACTAGAAAGAGAGAGAGGGATTGCTAGATCCCGAAATCTGACCATATTATTACAACAACAATAATACTGCTCCTCATCACGTCACCGAGACGTCTCAAAGCGCTTCACGGAATATACTGTAAAGTGTAGTGGCTGTGCATTGTGTGGGCGAAACACGGCAGACGATGGCGCACAGCAGCGTCTCCCTCCTTCCCTCCCTCCCTCCCCCCACACACACACACACGCGCGCACAAACAGCCGCGGATTGAGCGACTAAATTATTATTTTCTTAAAGGATTTATGACCCCCCCCCCCCGGATAAGCCATCCGCCAATCGCTAACAACCGGGATCCTACTTACTGCTCGGTAAACAGAGGCGTGTGCGTGTGTCGGGTAAGGAAACCTCCATGTTTCGCCCTGCCCAGGAATCGAACCCAGGTCCTCTGGCTTGCGGGGCGAGAAAAGTGGATTGACTGGTGTGTTTCGGGGGTGAAATCACAGGATTATATCGTGAGTCGGACGCGCGACAGGGTCCCGCAAACAGCCATGTTGTGTGCAACCAATTTTACTCGGGGAGAACGTTGGCCAAGACACCGGGAGAAAGAGAGAGAGAGAGAGAGAGAGAGAGACAAAAAAGAACTCCCTTTTCCACCCGCAATAAGGAAATAGCATTGATTCTCTACCTCTCTCCACTGAACATTAACTCAGCTGAGATTAAAACGACTCTGAAGCAAATAAAAACACGCATTTAATTTACTTTAAAGCGGCGGGTGGGGTGAAGGGACAAAAACCCTTGGGAAGTTTTTGCTTCAGCAGTCAGCAGGAACCCGGTTGTTCGTCGACTGGGGGCAATCGCATTTCCGGGGGTAATAAATACTTTTAAAAAAAAGAATAATTCGGTCACTTCAAGCCACGACTGTTTGTGGGACGCTGTCGGCGCGCAATTGACTTCCGCGCTTCGCCCACAAAACATACACAGCCACTCCACTTCACGGTGTATCTCGAGAAGCGCTCGGGGAGCGCCTCGAGCGACGGGTCGAAATCGCGGGGGTTATTCCGCTTAATAGAAATGAAACTTACGTGGAATATAAATGTCAGCCCTCCTGTCGTCTGAGACTTCACTCCAGTTCGGGATTTTGGAGTTACAGCAACGAGTTTTAACCAGAAAAGCTCTCGGCATTGTTGAGAGAGAGAGAGAGAGAGAAAGTCCCCGACTCTCTCACCTTACAACAGGTTAACAAAACTTTTTCACCGAGAGAGAGAGAGAGAGAGAGAGAGAGAGAGCACCTGTAAGGCTCCGAAACTAGTCGTTCGATTCGCGAGTCGCCTCTCTTTGCTCGAACGTTTCACACCGAGCGCTTTCATGTATAGACACGAAGTCGTATGCCTTACCCACTCTTTCTCTCTCTGTCTCTCGCGCTCTCTCTCTCTGTCTCCCTGTGTGCGGTGCGTGTGTGTGTCTCCCTCTCTCTCTCTCTCTCTCTCGCGCTGTAATATTTAACAGAGAAAGAGGTAAGACAGGACATCAAATCTAAGGCTAGGCTTCTTTTTGAGAGCGAGCGAGAGAGAGAAAGATCTCGAGCTGACTCACACGCTCAGAAATAACGGTGGACTGTGATTATTATACCTGAGTAACCGGTTTGAAGGTGGGATGGGCGTTCTGTTAGAGAGAGCGAGAGAGGGAGAGAGAGAGAGAGAGAGATCTATCAGGCACCACCCATCATTTCATCTGATTATCTTCCCATCAGGAAAGGGCAGAGGTAGTCAACATACAAATTAAAGGTGCAATCAGCTCTGGATTTACTCTATATGGAGTCCCCCGTGGCTCAGGGGTTAGACCCCTCGCCTCGCACCCCACAGCCCCTGTAGCTCAGGGGTTAGACCCCTCCCCTCGCACCCCACAGCTCCTGTAGCTCAGGGGTTAGACCCCTCGCCTCGCACCCCACAGCCCCTGTACCTCAGGGGTTAGACCCCTCGCCTCGCCAGCCACAGCCCCTGTAGCTCGGGGGTTAGACCCCTCGCCTCGCACCCCACAGCCCCTGTAGCTCAGGGGTTAGACCCCTCCCCTCGCACCCCACAGCCCCTGTAGCTCAGGGGTTAGACCCCTCGCCTCGCACCCCACAGCCCCTGTAGCTCAGGGGTTAGACCCCTCGCCTCGCACCCCACCAGCCCCTGTAGCTCAGGGGTTAGACCCCTCGCCTCGCACCCCACTGCCCCTGTAGCTCAGGGGTTAGACCCCTCGCCCCCCACCCCACAGCCCCTGTAGCTCAGGGGTTAGACCCCTCGCCTCGCACCCCACAGCTCCTGTAGCTCAGGGGTTAGACCCCTCCCCTCGCACCCCACAGTCCCTGTAGCTCAGGGGTTAGACCCCTCGCCTCACCAGCCACAGCCCCTGTAGCTCAGGGGCTAGACCCCTCGCCTCGCCAGCCACAGCCCCTGTAGCTCGGGGGTTAGACCCCTCCCCTCGCACCCCACAGCCCCTGTAGCTCGTGGGTTAGACCCCTCGCCTCGCCAGCCACAGCCCCTGTAGCTCGGGGGTTAGACCCCTCCCCTCGCACCCCACAGCCCCTGTAGCTCAGGGGTTAGACCCCTCGCCTCGCACCCCACAGCCCCTGTAGCTCAGGGGTTAGGCCCCTCCCCTCGCACCCCACAGCCCCTGTAGCTCAGGGGTTAGACCCCCCGCCTCGCCAGCCACAGCCCCTGTAGCTCGGGGGTTAGACCCCTCCCCTCGCACCCCACAGCCCCTGTAGCTCGTGGGTTAGACCCCTCGCCTCGCAAGCCAGAGGACCCGGGTTCGATTCCCAGGCGGGTCGGGTCAGGTCAGGGCGAAACCTTGGTCAAGTTTCCTTACTCCCCCACACGCTCACACTCACACACGTCTGTGTTTACCATCGATCGCTTGTTAATCAATTGGCGGATTGCTTTTCCGGGGCTAATAGCCCCTTCCAAAAAAAACGTGGTCACTGAATCCCACGACTGTTTGTGGGGACGTCGCCGGGCGCGATTGGCTTCCGCGTTTCGCCCACAAAACATACAGTCAATTCGCAAGACACGGGTATTCTGTGAAGCGCCTCGAGACGTCCTGAAGACGTTAGAAAGGAGGCGAGGATTATTACTATCATTCGACGTCTCAAAGCGCTGTGAAGTGTAGTAACTGTGTGTTATGTGGGCTGAGTTGTGGGTTGAGCGACCAAATTATTATTTGATGGGGTGGGGGGGGGGAATTATTACCCCCAGAAAGCGATCCATCGATCGACTAACACCCGGGTTCCTGCTGAGTAAACCGAGACGTGTGTGTGCGTGTGGTGTGGGTGGGGGAGTAAGGAAACTCGCCGAAGGTTTCGCCCCGACCAGGGTGGGAATCGAACCCGGGTCCTCTCGCTTGCGAGTCGAGCGCACTAACCACTCACTATACAGGACTACGCAGCCTCCTCGGGACAGGTAAACAGTCTCCTGGACCGAGCTGTGCAATCGTACAGAGTTTGGTCGGAACGACTTAACAAAGTGTCGCTTAACGATGATTGAAATCGAATAATAATCGATCTCTTGTCTTTGTGTCTCCCTCTGTGTTTAATGCGTCCCTGTGCTTCACGTCCGGAGGACTTCCCAAGGCGCTGGACAGTCAGTCGGGGGTTCGGACCCCAGCTGGGGGGGTCGGGATGAGGAAGGGGTGGACGGCGGAGGCGAGGGAGGGTGGAGGTAGGAGGGTGTCCGAAGCTTGGAGGGCTTTGAGACGGGGCTCGACAGAGGCAAGGGAGGGAGCGAGGCGGAGGGGTTCCAGAGGAGGGGGTGGGGTGAGGGTGGGGGGGGGGGGTGGTGAGGGGTGAGAGAGTGCAAATAAGAGGAGTTCCTAACTCGCTGGAGCCAAACGTTTCTCTGGGAGTGGACCTTTAAGAGCGACACACCCTCAGCGCTGAACAAACAGCTTTCAGCTCCCAGCTTTTGCCCCGGGGCAACAGGCAGGCGGGATTGGTGTGTGTCTGTTAGCGCGCATGGGCGTGCGTTTGTGCGTGTGCGTGTCCACGTGTGATCGTGTTTGTGCGCGCGTGTGCCTGAGCGCGTGTGCGCGTACGCGTGTGCGAGCATGCTCGGGCGCGCGTGCGCGCGGGCGGGTGTGTGTGTTTGCGTGCAAATGTGCGCGCGCGGGCACGTCGTGAGCGTGTTTGAGTGTGCGCGCGCGCGCGCGGGTGCGTGCGTGCGCGCGGGTATGAGCGTGTGCGTGTTTGAGAGCGTGCGTTTACGAGTGTGAGCGGATGTGAGTGAGAGTGCGCGTGTGCGTGTTTATGAGCGTGTGGACGTGTCTGCGTGGGCGCGAGCATGTGCGCGTGTGTGTGTGTGCGTGTGTGCGTGCGAGAATGAGTGCGGTGTACACGCGTACGTACGTACAGGGAGAGAAGCAGCAAAAAAACACCTCTAATCTAACAGGTTCTGCAGACTGTTATGGGGTGGTGACAATTTGTCCTCCTTCCAACATCAACCCACGCCTTATAAATGGGATAATATCTAGTAATATCTGCGCCTGACTCACTCATTTGACACAGCACCTTGTCACGTCGTCGAGACGTCCCGCAGCGCTCCACCGAATACGCCGCAAGGCGTAGTGGCTGTGCGTTTTTCCAGCCATATCGCGCCCAGCGACGTCCCCACGTCCAGTCCCAGTGGATTGAGTGACCCAAGTTATTATTTTCTTGGAGCGATTATGACCTCCGGGCTCTCGTCTTGACGTTAAAGTCCTGTAGCTCAGTGGTTAGAGCGCTCGCTTTGCAAGCGAGAGACCCGAGTTCAATTCCAGGCAGAGGGCGAAACCTCGGGCAAGTTTCCTTACTCCGCACATCTAATAAGAATCCCTCCAAAACCCCAAACAATAATAAATGGGTCATTTTCAATCTACGACTGTTTGTGGGGACATTGCTGCGCGCCATCGGCCGCCGCGTTCGCCCACAAACATACAGTCAATTCACTTTACAGTGTGTTCTGTGAAGCGCTTTGGGACGTCCTCCCGACACATGTGTGAAAAGCGCTATCTCGAACGCGAGGATTATTATTATGATTATGATTATTATTATTATTATAAAGGAACGCTCCATCGGACGCATAACTTGCCATTATTCTTGTGGAGTCGGTCAGGTTCTGACGCTTTGCCTGAAGTGGGTGAAACAGGTACCTCAGGAATGCAGCAGTGATCGACATAGCGTGATCTGCGAGGTGGAATGTTTTATAAGTAGAGGGTGTGGAGCGATGCGACAATGTTTGCTGTTAGCTTTAGCCTTGGAGGCAATATGGAGGCAGGGAATCGGGCAGTTTGCCACAGGAATCAAGGTATTAGCTTGTGTGGCTCCGAAAGGTGTGAATACCCCCAGCCTGCACGATGGGACTTCATGCCCACGCACCGCCCCCCCACCCCCATACCCCTCTCCGAACTGCTCACCCAACCACCCACCACCCCAACCCCAACCCACTACCCGTACGTAGCCTCCCCTCGAGTGGCTCCGACCTCCTGAATGTCCCCCAAACGCTCTTTCTCCATCCCTCCGCCTCGCCCTTTCCTTCCCCATCAAGGCGCGGCCGAGTCCCGCAAACAGCCGTGGCTTGAGCGAGCGTTAATCCCTCAAAATATTTTTTTTGGAGGGCTCATTACCCCCCCCCCCGGGAAAGCGATCTGCTAACAAGCGGTAAACAGAGGCGTGTGTGTGTGTGTGTGTGCGTGTGCGTGTGTGTGGAGTAAGGAAACTTGCCTAAGGTTTCGCACCTGCCCGGGAATCAAACGCGGGTCCTTTCGCTCGCGAGACGGGTCACTACACTGCAGCACTCCACAGATGCAAATTGTTCTTCCCTCTGTGACTTGATAAAACAGCGCAGGAACCTACACCGTGTCCTTCCTGAGTTACGTTGTCGGTAATAATAATATTAACAATAATCCTCAGACTTCGAGACGCCTCAAAGCGCTTCGCGGGGACGCCCTGAAGAGCGCAGCGACTGTGCGTTTCGGGGGGAGAGGGGGGGCCGAACGCGGCAGCCCATTGCGCCCAGCGACGTCCCCACAAACCAGACCTGGATTGAGTGACCCCAGTGGTTTTTTGGGGTTGGAACATTTTCTGGCGTGTAAAACAAATTAGGAGCAGGACTTGCCTTTACAAGAGAGGTGACTCAGACCCCGATGTGCTGAACGTAAATCCTCCCACACACCCGACAAAAGGCCTGGAATCCAGTTGAAATATTTATATACTGAATACGCCTTGCCACGATCTACACCGCTGAAATAGTCCGTTCAAACTAACTGGGCCATTGCGTATTCATAATCCACTTGTCCCTCTGTTCCCTTCCCCTCCCTCCTGTCCGGTGCTACGCAAGCGTAACTTGTCGTTGTTTTATTCCCCTCTTTCGTACAGAACCATAGAATCCCACAGCGCGGAAAGAGGCCATTCGGCCCATCGGGCCTCTGCACTTCACACAGCGCCTTACCGCGGCGCTGAGACGTCCTTAAAGCGCTTCACAGAACGCACCGTAGAGCGGAGCGACGGTGCGTTTTGTGGGCGAAACGAGGCAGCTACTGGTGCACAGCAGCGTCCGATTATTATTCCTCCCGGAGTAATATTATTCCTCCCGGAGTAATAATAATTTAATCGACGAACAACTGGGTTCTTGGTTACTACCGGTCGCGGAGCGAGGAAACTTGCCTAAGGTTTCGCCCTGTCCTGACCCGCCCGGGAATCTAACCCGGGTCCCCTCGCTCGCGAACCACTACGCAACGGGACGCCAACATCCTGGATTGGCACGTTATTTGCCAACCGACTCGGGAATAAACCCGGACCGAACATACGTGTTAATCTCGTTCCAAAGTCCACTTAAAAAAAAAAAGACGCCTCCACCCAGTTTTACCAAACTCTGGGCTACTGGAGAGCAGAACTGTGTAAAGATAGACACGGACCGTGCGCTAACAACCCGAGGATGTGCCAAAGTCCACAGCCTCTGTTAAAACACTCGGTTAATTAAGACGAGTGGGCAGAGAAATAACACGTCAATACCTACACGGCTCTCCCATGAAAGTTTATGATCCCTTCACGCCCTGACACCTCCCTCCCTGCCTCTCCGACCTGCTTTATACCCACTCGTCCCTTGCGCCCTCCCGCTCCGCCATGGGTGGCCGCGTTTTTCAGTCACTCCGCCCCGAAAAAGCTGTCGCTCTCTCCCTCAACCCTTGCCCCTAACCTCCCCATCTTCAGGCCGCGCCTGTCCAGGGCTCTGAGACCCACCCGGGCGGGTCAGGGCGAAACCTTGGGCGCACACACACACGCGCGCGCCGCTGTTTGCCAACAGTAAGTAGTGACCCGCTCGTCAATCGATGGGCCCTATATTAAATTCAAGAATTATTATTATTATTAGCGCCATATCACATCGTCTCAAAGCGCTTCCCAGGATACGGTGTAAAGTGTAGTGACCGTGTATTTCGTGCGGCCAATTGCGCCCAGCAGACCGTTGCGAGTGACCAACTATTTTGTGGCGGAGAGGGATCATTACCCCCCCCCTTAAAGCGATCTGCCCATCGACTAACAACCGGGTTCCTACTTACTGCTTACTCTTAAACAGAAGAGTGCGCCCGCGTCTGTGCGCGGAGTAAGGAAACTTGCCCCGTGTGTCCTCTCGCTCGCGAGGCGACTGCTCTAACCACTACGCTACGGGTTCGGTGTGGCCATTGTGCGTTGAAGGGCTTTAAAGGTTATTTTTTCGGGGCAAGAAGTGAAACAGGCCTCGGGGGGCGGCGGGGGGGGGGGGGAAATACAAGCTAGGACTCATCTCTCTCTCTCGCTTTCCGAGAGAACTCTGTTGAAACCGGTCCGTTGGGTTTCAGGCTAACACGAAGGCCCGTAAGCTGATTTATTCTCTCTCTCTCTCTCTCTCATCTCCTCTTCCCGTGAGCGCGCAAGATGTTAATATGCAAACCGGTTCCTCGTACGTAGCCATAACAACCTGTCCGCTCCCTCCGCGCGGCAGGCTCGGGCTTGCTCCACATCCCCCGCGCTGCCTTGCCCGCTCCGCCATCAGCGGTCAGGCTCTCTGCCCCCCACCCCCCCACCTCTGGAACTCCATCCCACACTCCCTCCGCCTCGCCTTTACCCTTGCCTCCTTCAAGGCCTCCCTGGAGATCCTCCTGACCAGTCACCCTCCTACCCACCTGCCCTCCACCCGTCCGGCGGATCCCTCTTCCGGTGGGCAATAATCCCTCAAAAACATAATTTAAAAAAAAGAGAATAAGTTCGGTCACTCAATCCACGACTGTTTGCGGGGCACCGCTGCACAAAATACACAGTCACCACACTTTTCCGTGTATTCTCCGAAGCACTTTGAGACATCTCGAAGACGTGATGAGGCGCCACATCAAATGCAAGGATTCTTCTTCTTGTTATGTTCTTACGACACCAAGAAAAGAGAGAAGCTCTTTGTCTGAATAGTGTCGGGGGAGATCTTTAATGTCCACCTGAACAGGAAATGAGGGCCACGGCACCCAAAGGGTTAACATTGGGGCCCGTCTACGTATATATTTTAACACACAAGGAAACAATAAATTAGACCTTTGTTCTCATTCTTATCTCCTCCCCAGGAAAGACCGTTAGCACAGAGGTAAGATAGGTAATAATTCACTGACAGACCAATTGTTTCTCAACACTGACGTGTTAGTCGTTTCATCCCACCCCCAGGATGGAGGGGTTAGGGTCACCAACCGTACCCCCATTCCCCCCCCATCCCCACCCCCACCCGCACCCCCACTCACACGCATACAAGACGGGAATTAAAAGACGTGATCAGAAGAAAAATTCTCGGGAATTCTCAAAATGAGTCATGGGAAAATTGGAGCAAGGAGAGAGTTCAGGAACAACAACAACAAGAAGGTTCCATTTATAGAGCGCCTGTCGCGTCGGGAGGACGTCCCAAGCATTGGGGGGGAAATGGTCAGGGTGAGGGAAGGGAGGGAGCGAGGAGGGGGTAGAGAGTCGAGAGCGGAGCTGAAGGTACGGTCAAAGAGAAAGGTCTTGAGACCGGCCTTGAAGGAGGAAAGGGAGGAGGCGGCGAAGGCACTGGGGGATGGAGTTCCAGAGCCTCGGGGCTGAGAGGCTGAAGGCCACCGATGGTAGGGCGGTTGGGGCGGGGGATGTGGAGCAGACCGGAGCCAGAGGAACGGAGGGTACGGGCAGGTAGGGAGGGGGATAGTAGGTCGGAGAGGAAGCACTTATAATAATAATAATAATAATAATCCTTGCCCAGTCCCTGTATAATAATCCTTGGATTTGATACAGCGCCTTACCACGTCTTCGAGACGTCTCAAAGTGCTTCGTGGAATACATTGGAAAGTGTAGTGACTGTGTATTTTGTGGGGTGAGACGCAGCAGCCAATTGCGCACAGCAGTTTCCCGTAAACGGCTGTGGGTCGAGCAACGTTTCGCTTGAATAATCCCTTAAGAAAAATTGGGTCACCGAATCCGCGACTGTTTGTGGGGCTCGTCGCCCGGCGCAATGGACTGCCGCGTCTCGCTCAACAAACACCCAGTCACTACACTTTGCGGTGCCTCCTGTGAAGCGCTAGGAGACATTTCGAAGGCGCGATAAGGCGTTGGTAGTCATAGCCTTTGCATTTGGCATAGCGCCTTACGCCCTCGAGGCGTCTCAAAGGGCTTCATAGGGTAGACCGTGAAGCGTAGTGACTGTGTTTTGCGGGCGAAACCTTTCTGTTTTGCTCTCCTGAGGCGCCTTATCCGGCGCCTCGTCAGCCCCACACTCTCGCTGCCTCTCCCAAGGGTTACCATCACGGTTCTCGTCACCGAAACTGACTTTAAAACCATACAAAAAGGGCCGAAAGATGGGTCGGTGGGGGGTGGGGGGGAGATCACATGACCAAGTCCGGTCAAGCCGATAAGGGTCCTTTCACTGTTAGCCTCCGGGGCAACGCCGAACGGGATCGAAACCTGTTCAAACCCGCCCGGCTTCGGGTATTAAAACCCCACGGGGCGGGGGTTAGGGTTAGGGTCTGGAAATCTGGGAAATTGTCCGGAGTTTGGGAGGAAAGCGGACAAAGCGGCTTCGGTTCGGGCGAAGCAGGCGGACGCCCGCGCACCGGTTCCCATTCGAAACGGGTTTGTTTGTTTTTCCTCGCGAGGGGGTTTTCCTGACAAGGAAGGAAGGAAGGAAGGAAGGAAGGAAGGAGGCGGAAGGGAAAAAATAAAAAAAAAGGAGAGCGTTTTATTTTTTTTGCGTGTGTAAAAAAAAAAGTTGGTGCAGGCGCCGCGCGGGCAGCCCAGGCGGCTGGTGGCGGGGGTCCTCGCGGCGCCTCAGTCGGGACGGGCCGAGGAAGATGGCGGACGTGGTGAGTCAGCGCGGCCCGCTCGCCGGGCTTCGCGTCTAGCGGCGCCGGGAGCCCCCGGGGGTCGGAAATGACGGTCGGAGGAGGTAGCCCGGTGCCCGCCCGCGCTAACCGACTCCTCTCTGTCTCTCTCCCGCCGCAGATGGAGGTGATTGAGGGCTGCCGCCTGCCCGTGCTCCGGAGGAACCAGGAGAACGAAGACGAGTGGCGTGAGTATCCAACATGGCGGCCCGGGCCCCGCGGCCGCGCAGGCGCAGTGGCGCCGCCTCGCCACCAGGTGGCGCCCTTTCCTACGGTGACGCGTCACCAGGGAGGGTGTCACCGTAGGAAGGGGATTAAAGGGGATTTTTTTTATGAGGGGGGGGGGCAATTAAAGGTGGTGGTGGTGGGGGGGGGGGGGGGGCGAGTTAGGGCCAAAAAAAAAAAAAACTTTTTGAACCGGAGTAAGGCTTCTGCGCCACACGCCCACGAAGCGCGCAGTCGCCGCGCCGCGCCGCGCGGGGCCGCCCTCGGAAGCGCCTCGAGACGCCTCGACGACGACGCGCCCGCGGCGCCGCGTTGAATGCAAAGATTGTCGTTCACGACGACGATAATAATAATAACTAACTAAATAAATAAATAAATAAATAAAGGTCTGCCGCGAGGTTTAGCCCCCTCCGAACGCACAGTCACTACACATGACACGGTGCGTTCGGCGAAGCGCTTGGGCGGCGGCGCAACGCCCCGATAGGTCGCGATGGCCGAGTGCAGGGATTGTTGTTATCACTACCACGACGTGAGGATTATTGATGGTTGATGTCTGTTCTCCTTTCCAGCGTTGGCTGAGATCCTGAGTGTGAAAGACATTAATGGCAGGAAAGTGTTTTACGTGCATTATATCGACTGTAAGTAGCAGTGAGCAGGCGCCTGGCACGGCGACGCCGCGTTTGGGCTGTGACGTTGCATGAATCGCACGGCGTACGCACTTCATTCGGGGGGGGGGGCGGGGGGTGGGGGTCAGCCTGACACGCGCGCGTGCGCGCGGGAATCGCGGCGCCGTGACTGGCCGGGTGTCTGACACGCACACGGAATCCCGGCGCCGTGACCGGCCGGGTGTCTGACACGCACACGGAATCCCGGCGCCGTGACCGGCCGGGTGTCTGACACACACACACACGGAAACCCGTCGCCGTGACCGGCCGGGTGTCTGACACACACACACGGAAACCCGTCGCCGTGATCAGCCGGGCGTCTGACACGCACACGGAATCCCGGCGCCGTGACCGGCCGGGTGTCTGACACACACACACACACGGAAACCCGTCGCCGTGACTGGCCGGGTGTCTGACGTGCACGGAAACCCGTCACCGTGGTCAAGAGCCTCCAGGCGATACTGAGAGAGTGACATTTATGCCACCCGCACATGGAATCTCTCTCTGTGGGGTATTGTGTGGCGTGGGAGAGGGGGGAGGCACGACCTTGGCTCTGTGTCGTGCTCCACCACTGTCGAGCGCTCTGGAGACGCTACCTTCGCTGGGAGCGCTTGCGTAAATGCGACTTGTTTACCTTCGTGTCCGAACACGCGGGGAGAGGCCTCAGTAATTTCCTGTGTTGCCAGTTAACAAGCGTTTGGACGAATGGGTGACGCCCGACAGGTTGGACCTGAAGAAAATCCAATTCCCGAAGAAAGAAGCCAAGACTCCGACCAAGAATGGCCTCCCAGGCTCCCGGTCCAGCTCCCCCGAGAGGGACTTGGTAAGGACAGGCTCGAGGGGGCTGAACGGCTTCCTCCTGCTCCTACAGTGGACTCGTGTAGCTCGGTGGTTAGAGCGCTCGCCTGGCGAGCGAGAGGACCTGGGTTCGATTCCCGGCACGCTGGAAAAGTTTCCTTACTCCGCACACCTCTGGTTACCCAGCGGTACTAACCTGCTTGTCAGTCGATGAGGGGGGGATCGCTCCTTCAGGGGTAACAATCCCTAAAAAAAAAAATAACAACCTGTTCGCTCAATCCACGACTGTCTGCGGGGGCCTCGCTGTGCGCAAATGGCTGCCGCGTTTCGCCCACAGAACACACGGTCAACTCACTTTACGGCGTGTGCCGTGAGGCGCTTTGAGACGCCTCGAAGATGTGCTAAGGCGCTGCGTCCAACGCAAGGATTATTATGATATTATTGTAGGTGTGGGATGGGAATGCAGGGATTGTGATGATGATGATGATGATGATGATGATGATGGTGGTGGTGTGACTAACCCTATCTCTGTTGCTCCTCAGAAGAAGACCCTGGATCTGTCTCTACACACCCCCTCGGCTACTGGCATTGGCAAGAGCATCCCAGCTCCGGTGGGCACCGCTTCTCTCTGCTCACGCGGCACTCCGCGCGCCCCGGTTGTACCTCTGGCAACCGGAAGCCAGAGATTCACCCCCTGCGCTGGGAACTGTTACGCTGTCCTTCGGATGAGACGTTAAACCTCACTCGCTTCCCCCCACCCCCCCCCCCCCCACCCGCCTGCGTCCTGTTCAGGTGGACGCGAAAGATCTCTCAAGGCACCGTCCGAAAAGAGAAGGGAATTTCTCTCTCTCTCTCTCTCTCTCTCCCGCTATCCTGGCCAACAATCCCCCCCTGACACAAACTTACTGCGGATTTCGTCCCGCAAAATTACGGTCACCCCACTTTACGGTGCACCCCGCGAAGCGCTTTTTAATACACCTCAACGACGTGATCAGACGCCGTATCGAATGCAAGGATTATTATTATTATTATTATTATTATTTTACTCGATCCAC